CCGCCTGGAGCACCGCCGGTGTTCAAGGCGCGCTACGTGGCTAGGGGCTTCAGTCAGCGTGAGGGAGTTGACTTCTTCCAGACCTTCGCCCCGACCCCGAAGATGACTACTCTTCGGGTGTTACTCCACATAGCAGCGCAGCGAGACTACGAGCTGCACTCCCTCGACTTCTCCACTGCGTTTCTCCAGGGCCGGCTACACGAGGAGATCTGGCTGCGCCGTCCTCCCGGCTTCACTGACACCTTCCCACCTGGGTCCCAGTGGAGCCTGAGGCGACCAGTCTACGGTCTCCGCCAGTCGCCCCGTGAGTGGCACGACACTCTTCGCTCCACGCTTCGTGACCTTGGGTTCAGCCCGTCCTCCGCCGACCCGTCGCTGTTTGTTTGAGCGGATTCTACTCCTTTCTTTATCCTTGTCTACGTCGACGACTTGGTGTTTGCTACAGCAGACAGGGCAGCTCTGGCTCAGGTGAAGTCCGAACTGCAGAAGAGACACAAGTGCACTGACCTGGGTGAGCTGCAGCGCTACCTTGGCCTGCAGATCACCCGGGACAGAGCCGCTCGCACCATCACACTGACACAGACACACATGGTGCAGCAGGTCCTTCGGCGGTTCGACTTCCAGTTCTCCACCACACAGCCCACTCCTCTTGCTATTGACCACAGACTCACGGGCCCTTTTCCTGACGAGCCCTTTGAGTCCAGTGGCCCCTACGCAGAGCTGGTGGGCTGCCTCATGTACCTGATGACTTGTACTCGGCCGGACCTCGCCTTTCCCCTCAGCATCCTTTCTCGCTTTGTTGCGACTGGGAGACACCGTCCTGTCCACTGGACAGCTGCTGTGAGGGTGGCGAAGTACCTGGCGACTACATCAGGCATGGGGCTTGTGCTTGGAGGGACTCAGCCAGTAACGTTGACTGGTCACTGTGACTCTTCCTACGCTGACGACGTGGAGACTCAGCGCTCGACTCAGGGTTACTGCTTCAGTCTGGGAGCTGGTGCTGTGTCGTGGAGGTCTACACGGTCGTCGTCTGTGGCTACTTCCAGTGCAGAGGCAGAGATCTACGCTGGTGCCATGGTGGCGCAGGAGCTTCGCTGGTTGACCTTCTTGCTCGCCGACCTTGGTGAGCGGCCTCGCTCTGCACCGACCTTGTACGCTGACAACAAGGCCATGATCCTCCTGTGTCGAGAGCCTCGACTGGAGAGCAGAGTGAAGCATATTGACGTGAGGTACTTCCTCCTGCGAGAGCTGCAGCGACGCGGCCAGGCACGCCTGGACTTTGTGGCCTCAGAGGCCAACACTGTAGACGTCTTCACCAAGGCCTTGGCGCTTGGTGACCACCACAGGTTCTGTGTGCAGTTGGGGCTTGTGGAGGTAGGCCCTCGGTTGCTGTAGCCTTGTTGCTTGCTCTGTTTGTTGTGCTTTCCTGTTTATATCCTAGTGAACTCTTGAACTGGCCTTGTGGCCGCTTGCTTGTGCTCGGAATTTGTGTGGTGTCCTTGAGATCCACCCTGAGCTTGTTTTGCTTCTTATCTTGACTGGTCTTGTGACTGTTTGTTCACCCTGCTTGCTCTGAGGCCCCTCACTTAGCCTATGGGGGTGTGTCAAATGTTAGCATTTCTAATAGGCTGCAGTGAGTTGCCTACTAGAGGGTACATTGTTTAGGTTTTGCACATTTGTACCCTACTCCCATCCTAGTCAATTCATTCCGTTGCATCCTGATTCTAACATGTCTGTATAAGCGCATGCGCCTATAATATGGAAAAAATGAAATTCACTTTTAAACATACTAAACTGAAGCCCGCAATAAGGCGAATCCAACGGACCATGCAACAAGTGGGATCGTGCATGGTTTTCAGGCAAAAACAGCTGCGGTTCGGTTTCCCACCGCACAAAGTTGTCTAGAGCCATCGAAAGTGACAGCAGTGACGGGGATGTTGCCGTGCGGCCCAATCACAGCCACATGCGCTGCGTGGCATCTGCATTTCTTCCGAACCCTCTCAAAGGGTGGGGAAGATTCCCTGCCAGCGCAGAGAATATGCTGCCACGCAGGTTCCTCTACGGGGGTAGGCGGGGGTTTCCTGCCTGACATTGACGAGGACCCCGAGCCGCTAGCCCGCAGGGGTCCCCGTCGTTGCCCATTTCTGCACCCTCCTCCTCATTTTTTTCATTCAGTTTCTAGTCTAGCCCCGCCTGGCTGGCGAAGCCATGGCGAAATTCAGTGGGACGCACTTCCTTTTCAAGAAGAAACCAACTCGCGCGTGGCGACTAACCGCGGACGGGTGGTATACCCGTCAGCCACCAGCGCCTCCAGTGCCACCTACACCCCCTGCACCGCCTGCTCCGCCTGCTCCTCTTGCACCTCCTGCTCCTCCTGCTCCTCCCGCTCCTCCGAATCCTCCGAGTCCTGTTCCTGACGCGAATTCTCACCAACGGCCCGTGCTCCAGCTGTATTTGCCAGCCACTTTCGACGAGTGGCTGTCTGAACCGGACACACCCAAGGCTAAGCGAATCGATGCTCTGCCGACTGCACCGCGGTGGGGAAATCCTGAAGCCTGCACGTGGGACGAGTCGGCTGTGGGCGCCGACGATGACGTGGCCGCCGATAAACAACCCACATGCGACGGCGACACTGGAGGGGATGGTGGAGGCGACGGTGGAGTCGACGGTGAAGAAGTTGCCGAGGAGGACGTCTTCCCAGATCGTGAAGCTACAGACGCGGACGACGACGGTGTGGAATCTTGGTGGCGCGACGCACCACGCGAGAAGATGCCAACGTATCCGCCGATTAACAAAAAACGACCCCACCCCTCCTCTGAGAACCGAGATGCCCGCCCCCCCTCTCCCAGGCACAAGCCGACTCAACACAAACGGCAGCGCTACACCGCCCAGGAGAAACTGAAGTGGCTCGTTCGGCTGGAGCTTGCGGCATCGATAAGCGAGGTCGCGCGGGAGTCTGGCATACACCGCAAATGCCTCACGGAGTGGAAAACCCAAGCGGAGGAGCTCAAGGCTGCACACAGCGCTCGGTGTCGACTTCATGGGCGCGGAAGGTCTTCCTGGTACAGACCCATGGAGATGAAGGTGTACGCCCAACTCCTGGACTGGCGACGCCTCGGTGTGGCAGTATCAGTCGGCGGGCTGCAAGACTGGTCAAAAGAGGTGATGAAGGTGTTGTTCCCAGACGTCAAGTGGAAGGCGAGTCAGCGCTGGACGGAGCGGTTCCGCAAGCGGTGGAATCTCACCGTGCGCATGAAAACAAAGGTGGCGCAAAAGACACAGCAGCGTAAGTGCCTGTCCGTGCACTGTCATCCTATCGTGGAATTTTATCTTGTATCTCTGTACTTTCTTGCCCATGTATGTTTATCTGTAGCGGTGCTCATCCGCCCTTTTAACCGTCCCTCCCTCCCCGTGCGCAGACGTGGCGAAGCAGTGCAAGGAATTTTGGCAGTTTGTCTGCGACGCACGCCACGAGTACGACATCGACAATCGTTACATCATCAATGCCGACCAGACGCCTTTGTGGCTAGAGATGCCGGCGACTGCCACGGTGGAGCAGACGGGCGTGAAGTCGGTGCCCATCCGCAGCGGTGGTTACCAGAAAGAGAGAGTCACTGTGATGCTGGCGTACACGGCGACGGGCGAGAAGTTGAAGCCGTGGGTGTATTTCAAGCGCAAGACCCTCCCAAAGGGTGACTTCCCGAACGGTAAGAAGCTGCGTATGCGCGTGTTTCCGAGGGGAAAAACAAAATTAAAATCTAACCACCGCTTGCTTGTATGCAGATGTCGTGGTCGGCTGCCAAGCTAACGGGTGGATGGAGGCCTCGGGCGTCATCGAGTGGCTCGCCTCAGGCGTGGTGCCGTTCCTAAAACCGAAGTTCGGATTGCAGAGCCGGAGCGCCATGCTGGTGCTCGACTCCTATCGTGGTCACCTGACACCCGAAGTCAAGGCGAAATTCGCGGAACTCAACATCGTGCCGGCGGTCATCCCAGCGGGATGCACGGCAGACGTGCAGCCGCTCGATGTGTCGGTCAACAAAAGCTTCAAGGCGAGTGTTCGGCAGCAGTACCAGACCTGGTTCGAGCAAGACGGCATGAACATCCTGACACCCGCAGGTACGCAAAGTGTTCTCCCGTGACCGCTTCGTCTGCTTGTCTGCCTGCTTGTGGACTGACGTGGTTCCCACCCCCGTGTCTGTGGTGCAGGGAACATCAAGAAACCACCTCCGGAGGTGGTGCTCAAGTGGATTTCACGGGCGTGGAAAGCTGTGCCCGCCGACCTGATTAAGAAAGCGTTCCTCACCTGCGGCATCAGCAATGCCCTTGACGGGAGTGAAGACGGACTGGTGCTGGCGCACCGGCGAGGTCAGCTGTCCCACGAGGTAGAGGTAGATGACGACATCCAAGCAGACGGGTTATTTGGCAACAACTCCATGGAGCCTGAATCGGACGAGGAGTAGGCCTTAGGCTAGACTAATCTTGAAAATGGTGTGTAGGCTAGTATTCAAGTTTAATGTATTTGACTGGAAAGTTTTAGTTGAAATTGTTAGCTAGAGAAGTGAAAAATTTCAACATAAATTCTTGTTATACAGCAGGGGTGCGCTTATAATAAGTAACGATTTTTTAGAGGGTGCGCTTCTAATTGAGGATCGGCCATAAGCGCATTGCTCCAGATAGAAGCGCATGCGCTTAACATAGGCCTGCGGTTATATCCGGGGCGATACGGTATGTGCTGCAAGGAGCTTCCTCTGATATGATGGTGGCCCGTACAACTTTCACTCTAGAACATTCTCAAAAGTGACACAAGAACAGCTTTTTACTCTTGAGAACCCAAGAAAGTGACACAAGTACGTGCACCTCAGAAAGAAGCCTCCAGGAGTACCAACTGCAACCTCCATGGTAACGTACATGCAGAGAGAAAGTGTTTTGAGACGTCTCAGAGAGAACGTGCCCAAGGTGCCTCCACGGTACGGTATCCACAGAGAGAGCTTGCGATTGGGTCACTGCACGACAATAGGTGCTGCAGCAACTGTAGCGGAGGCCGCTACGGGCTTGGAAGCAGGCGCAGCAGCAGCAGCAGCAGAAGCAGCAGCAGGGGATGTAGCAGCAGCAGAAGCAGCACCAGCAGCAGAAGCAGCACCAGCAGCAATGGATGTAGCAGCAGCGGCAGCTGTAGCAGCAGGTGTGGGGCGGGGCAGGAAGCCGACATGGTGCAGAGCGTCCGTAAGAGCTCGCAGCACGAGAGCAATGTTGGCCGGACGAGCGTTGTTCCCCTTTATGCCAATGCGCCACACCTGATAGGCGACAGGGGAGGAAAGGCGGAGATGGAAGGGGGGTTGGCGGGTGAATGGAGGGGGAAACGGAGGGGGGAAGGAGGGGAAATGGTGGGTGAATGGAGGGGCAGGAAGCCGACGTGGCGCAGAGCGTCCTTGAGAGCCCGCAGCACGAGAGCTATGTTGGCCGGACGAGCGTTGTTGCCCATTATGCCAATTCGCCACACCTGATAGGCGACAGGGGAGAGGGGAGATGGAAGGGGGGATGGCGAATGAATGGAGGGGGGATGGTGGGTGAATGGTGGGTGAATGGCGGAGGCAGGAAGTTGATTGGTGCAGAGCGTCTTTCGCAGCACGAGAGCCATGTTGGGGAGACGAGTGTTGTTGCCCATTATGCCAATTCGCCATACATGAGATGAGAGAGGGGGAGGAGAGGGAGCAGGTAACATGTTGAAGTCCACTTGGGAGTCAGCTTTTCATTTGCCCATGATTCTAATGCGCCACACTTGAGAGTAGAGGCAACGTGCACGGGTTTTCAGCGTGGCTAGAAATCACCATGTTTGGCAAGAAATCACCATGTTCAGTCCCACTCTCACAAACTCACCGTGCCAACGGTGGGCCCCAACCCTCCGGCAATCTCGAGGTTGTAATTCTCCATGAGGAAAGCCGTCACCTGCGCTCACTGCACCCCCTCACACTCCCACTACACCCCCATTCAAGCAGACTCATATTCACGCACACTCCCACTCTCTTTTACTCACCATGCCAACGGTGGGTCCCAGACCTCCGGCAATCTCGAGGTTGTATTTCTCCATGAGGAAAGCCGTCACCTGCGCCCACTGCACACCCTTCGGCACCTTGATGGTTGTCACGGTGGGCAGGCGGATGGAAGGGTCCTTCACGAACAGCTCTAGCCCCAGCTGAGGGGGGAGAATGGGGAGAGAGGGTGGAGTTGGGAGGAGCGGGGAGGACGGTACGATATTGCTTTGATGATTGTCACGGTGGGCAGGCGGATAGAGGGGTCTTTTACGAACAGCTCTAGCCCCAGCTGATGGAGGGGGGCACGGAAGGGAAGGGCACAAGGAGCAAGGATATTAGCGATGGGTGTTGGGGGAGCTGGGAGGAGAGGGGTGATGGAAGCTGATGGGAGAAAGCCGAGGAGGCGGCGAAGGAGGCGGGAAAAGGAGTGTTGTTGAGATCACCCAATTACAGAAGGAACTATTCGGACGTCTCAAAAGCTTGTCAGCCAAGAATCGTGATGTTGAGGCGACAAGCTTGTCACGCAAGTGCAGAAGCATGCCCCACCACACCTGCTTGCCCCACCAGACATGCTTGCCCCACTTCCTTTCACCTCACCTCCGTGATACCAGCGCAGAGCTTATAAGCCAGGGAACGGTGGTGGTGCCAAACGCTCTCCATCCCCTTATCCAACACCACCACCATCAGCACAAGGGCTACTTGCACCCCTCCCTCCATAGCTCACCTCCTCAATACCAGCGCAGAGTTTATCAGCCAGGGAGCGGTGGCGGTTCCACACGCTCTCTAGCCCTTCGTCCACCACCAAAGCTAGCGCCTCCCTGATAGCCATTATGTTGCTGCCGAGAGCTGCGTTGGGATCAGTCGCGATGAGAAAAGAAAGGCAAGTCAATTGGCGAGGCTCGCATTTTGAGGCACAGGAGAACCCAACCATGTTGTGCCTCCCAATGGCTGCTTTGGAATCAAATGTGATGGAGGGGAGAATGATGAATGATGAAGTCCATGATATAAGTACCGTATTATTATTCAGTGCTAAGATACGTGTGATGGTACTTACATGTGTGATGGTACACATGTGGTTTGCCATCCACGCCCCAGAAAGCCCCAGCCTGTTGTAAGATAAATACACAAATAAGGCATGGACTCAATGCATCAGTTATGCAAAACTCTGTAAATCACTTGCTTGGCGTGGGTGAGTGCCCCAAGTCATAACAAAACAGAAAGAGCTTGTTACGAAATCGCCTAGAAATTATGCGAGAGTATTTATTATTCTCTTACCACGTTCATATCAAAGTAGTACGTTTGGATCTGGTGCGCCTTGCTCTTGAGCTTCTGTCTTGCACGCTCATTCATGGAGAACGGCGACGGTGATACGAGCGACGACAGACACTTTTGAGACCTGAAATGCACAAATACAAACACAAATAAACTCATGCTTATAGCATCATGTGAAGAGGATCACAATCACATTAGATTTAGAAGAAACATTTCATTTGACTTCTATGTATAGCAGTGTACCACGTACCCGCTGTAACACACATCGATATCCCATTCGTCCATTAGAACAGGCACTCCTCCCGCCGTGCAAATCGCATCCACCACCAGGAGCGCACCTGGCGGCGAGGAAAGGGAACATTGCAGGGGAAATTGCGGGGGAACGGGGAGAGGCGCTTGTTAGATCTGGCTTTTGCGCCTAGGCACGCGGGGTGGCCCGTTCACCGCAGCTGCAAATAGGAGCCGGGAACCACAGGATAGGGGTCTACTCTCAAAATCCCTAATTTCTCCTAAGCGCTCTGTCGAGGAGTCTTCGCCATGGGACGCGAGACTGATGCTTCACGCGGCATTAGATCAAACCACATGTGTAGGATTTCAGAGCGACTTTCGTGCTCGACTTTTGAGGCGCCTCAAGTATGACACGTCTAGATATTCAGAACGACTCCCCCAAACGCCCATCACAAACAGACGAGGCCGCGACTCCGCGTTACAGGACGACCCGTTTCAAGCGCATCCCCTCACCGTGCTTATGGCAGAGGTCCCCTAATCCTTGCAGAGGCTGCAGCGTGCCCGTGCTCGACTCGCCGTGTACTACAAACACCGCCGCGACTCCCGGGTTCGCCTCGAGCGCGCGCGCGAAGTCCGCGAGAGTAAACACCTCCCCCAATGGCGCCTGGATCGTTCGCACGTCGCCGCCGTGTCGCCGCGCGAGCAGCGCCATTCGCTCGCCCCACATGCCGTTCACCGCGACAAGAACGACGTCGCCGGGAGCTACAACCTGAGGTGTGACAATAGCGAGAGGAGAAAAGCAGGGAGGAGCTGTTAGCGAGAGTTATAGTTGACAAGAGTTGAGGAGAATTCACAAGAATTGTCTACAGTTCGCGAAAATTCGCCAAGATTGACAAGAGTTGACTCACGGCGTTGACTGCGGCTTCCATGGCGGCGTGGCCCGAGCCGCTGACGCCGAGCGTGAAGCGGTTGCGCGTCTGAAAGACGTACTTGAGCCACTCGCGCACGTCGTCCACCGCCCCTAGCAGCGCGGGGTGCATCTGTAGCAGGGGGACGCCATGGATGGGCGACGAGGGTGAAAGATGGTGGTATAAGGACGCGGTGAATGGTGGAGGTGAGGTGCATCAGTGGATAAGCATGTGTCTCAAGAAACATCACGCTCGCAAATGAAGGAAGTCCTAAGCATGAAAATGCCAGGGCCTGACACCTAACATGGAAATGCTTACATGGCCAACAAGGGGCGAACCAGCAGCAGCGAGGACGCGTGGATGGGGAGACGATGGGCCAGGACCTGAGGGGGGTAAGGTTGATGAGGGAGGGGGTAAGAGAGAGTAGGTATTATATACTGGACTCAAAATTTGGCCCGTAGAGGGGGAGCGTAAGAGTGGTGACGGTAGAGTAGAACCAACACTCACTTGTGAGAACTTGCTCGCTCACTCATGAACACCCCACTCACTCGTGAGCACCCACTCACTCGTGACCATTCACTCACTCACTCACTCACTCACTCACTCACTCACTCACCCACTCGCTCACTTGTGACCACTCACTCATTCACTCATGACAACTCAACAATCACTCACTCGCTCATGAAAACTCACTCACTCGCTCACTTACTCAACAATCGAGTGTGGGAAAGAGGGACTCACTCATGAGCAGCAGGTTGGGGAGAGTCAGAGGCGTGGTGGGGATGCTCGGCCTCTCAACCCTCGTCGAAGCGGCCGTTGGGGAGGCAACCAGAGGAGCCAAAGGAGCCATGGCGAGGCGATGGCGACGGAAGCTGGGTTCTTGAGGCGTCTTAAGAGGTCTCAAGAAGGAGTTAAGTGCAGCGCGGCGCGAGGGCCACCCAACACACAAGGCAGCAGAGCGAGGATAGCGTGAGCTAAATCCACGTCTGGAGCAAGTATAACGAGTTTTCAACCAGTCTATTTACAATATTCACAGTCCGGTCGGGTAGCGGGTAGCGTAGGAGGCGCAGCGGGAATCTACCAGCAGTGCACCTTGGAGTTTCGGGGCTTGACGACAGATCTGCTGGAGAGGAGAGATACGGAGTGCTACACGAAGTTGTGGAGGAAAGCTCCGGAATCGGAGAGGAGAAGGGACTTGCTGAGGTGTATATCACTCAAAGAGGCGATGGCGGAGGAGGGGTGGAATTTGAAGCCGGTTGTCGCGAACGAATGAACGCGATGCTGAGATGGTGAGGTGGTGGAATTGCAACCGTGTAGGCACTTGTGGAGATTATTCTGCTGCGTCGAGCTGACTAAGCTGAGGCAATCTTGATTCAATACGGAGATGCTTGTGATGCGATGAATCTATCCCCCGATCGAAGGGAACGGAGGCTTGTGCGAGGGGACGGAGCGAGGGGTGGCTGAGGATTCTGGCAGGGAGGATTGTGTCGAACGCTTGTGCCGACGGAGTTGACTGAGGATTCCGGTAGGGACCTTTCTACCACGTTAGCAGCGCCGCTAATATGGTCGAATTTGGCGGCGCGTGAAAAATGTCTTTAGGAGGTGTCAAGGCACGCGAAGGAGGCTGCTGGCAGTAGGTGAAGAGGTGAGTGACGATCTTTACAATCTTCTTCCGGTCCGGAGTGCCTGATGATGACGTCAGCAAAATATGTACAGTTGAGACAAAGATGCTTGAGACGTATGTACGGCGTCAAGAGTCGAGAGCTGTGACGCGCTGGCACAGGGTGGTGCGTCGCGTGCTAGCAATGGGAGGGAAGTAAGTACAGTATGTACACAGCAAAGCACGTGTCAGCAGAGAAATGTGGAGTTTTGCTGCTGGGAGTTGGAAGGGAAGTTGCGGTCGAAGTTATCGAGCTGGTTGTTGGAAACGATAGACGGATTGCTGCACAGCTCAGTTGTACTTCGTCGACTTGGAAGGGCTCGGCTTTATGTAATTTCTGATTTGGAGCCAGCGATGCCTCGTTCCGCGTCGCGTGTGATGGGAATCCCTCGTTCCCGCGCTGTGATTTCAAAGTTCGGATCGCGTCCTCGGAGTCAGCTCAGCACCAGGAAGCTCTGATTTGACAAATCCCTCCGCGCAGTCACCTAGGTTGTCGGCTGGAGCAAAGAATGTGGTCCGCGTTTGATGCACGGAACAGCTCAGCACGAGAAAGGACAGCAGTTCCCGAGACTTGGGCTTCTAGAGCCTGTATTTTCGAGGTTTGAGCTCCCAAGGTTTCCTCCAGCTATGAGTCTCTGAGGTTTGAGCTTTCGAGGTTTGAAGTGAAGAGAGAAACAGCCCCCCTAACCTCTTTGACTCGGCTGCTTGTCTGGTGGAGGAAGAAATCTGGGAGAATGCAATGTTTCCAGTGGGGACGAAATCGACTGGACGCGCGACTCGGACCAGTAACTTGATTCGCGACCGGACAATGACGTGATTCGTTGAGAGCGGGATTAGCGAACGAGAAGATAGTCACTGCGAATGGCAGAAATCGCTGGACGTTTCGCATGATTGGTTAACGTGCTGACACACCCATGCCCTGGCAGGGCAAGCAGCAATGTCACTGAGATGGAAACTTGCGTGGCCGGTGCGCGGGCCAGCTGGGCGCAGCAAAAATACAAAAAAATGGTTACGACTCCACATTGTGGATAACTCGTTATAAAAAAAACGAGCGTACGTCATAAGGAGAAGCCAGCTTACTGAAGCAGGCTCATTTCATGGTGGTTACAAATGCACCAAGCACTGTACTACCTAAGCAGTCGCCTTCTTGGGAGTGAACCCTGCATGTTCAAGTGCATCCTTCAGAGCCTCCAAAAGAAGAGCTACATTTGCGGGGCGGGCATTGTTCCCCATGAGACCAATTCGCCACACCTGGTTGCCACAATGATAGAAACACAGGAATTTGGTGTCAGATCAACCAACCGTGACACGTTTTGCAGTTCATTCCAGCAATAGATCATGTCATTGCTGAAACACAATGTCTAGTTTTTTTATCACAATGTATCCAGCACAATCCCAACACGTACCTTGCCAGCAGTCGGACCAAGTCCTCCCGCTATTTCCAAGTTGAACTTCGACATCAGATGGCCTGCAATGGCACGTGAGACGGGCAAGCAAAACAGCGTGCCCACGTTTTCCAGCTGAAGAAGCAATAATGTGGCTCTTCTAGCTAGGAATCAAGGCACAAACAAGCATGACGAGAGGATGTTTCCCAGAAAATTGCCTGGCACTCACCTGTGACTTTAGTCCACTCCACTCCTTCAGGAACCTTCACTGTTGTCACAGTGGGCAAGCGAGAATCGTGGTCCTCCACAAACAACTCCAGTCCCAACTGAGAGGGGAGCAGAGGACAGAGGAGGAACGCAAGAACGGGAAGAGAGAAAGTCAGAAGGTGGGCAGGCGAGAATCGTGGTCCTCCACAAACAGTTCCAGTCCCAGCTGAGGAGGAAGAGAAAGGGAAGAGAGAGAAATGGTGGGTGGGCGGGCGGGAATCGTGGTTCCCCACAAACAGCTCTAGTCCCAGCTGACAGGGGGGCAGAGGTACGAGAGAGGGGAAGGGATAGTAAGAGGAAGGATGAAAGGAAGGAGCGCAGACAAAAGCTGTGAGCCACCATAATCAGCTCAAACCCAGCTGACAGACAGCGGGACTAGGGTACAAGAAAAGGGGAGGAATGGTGCAGGGAGGGATGGACAGAAGGCGAGCAGTGCCAGCTGGCAGCAATTACAGTGGAGTGCAGAAGACGGCTGAGGGAAGGTGGGATGGGAAGCAGCGCAGCATTCATGGACGGATCAGTGGACGGAAAGGAAGGCAATTCCACATCAAGTTAGATACATGAACCACTGTGTAAATCTCGGTGCCCCTCTTTTTCAGCCAACCAGTGCAGTATCTTTCTCACTCCCCCACATATGGCCGTCGCGTTGCCCTTTCACCATTCAGCAATCCATTTCAACCCCAGAGGATCCCTCACCTCCTGCAGCCCTGCCCAGAGGAGTGTTTTTTGAGAATTCTCACCTCCTGCAGCCCTGCCCAGAGGAGCTCGGCCTGGCTGCGATGGCGCTGCCACACATTCTCCAGACCCTGTCATGCAAAACAGAAAAAAAACACAGAACCACCAGCGTCAACAACAAAGAGAGGGAGAGAAAAAGAGAGATGTTAACATGACGCTGGTGGTGGTGAAGTCAGAACCACCAGGGTCAACCACAGTCCTGGCTTCCCAGCGCACACGTGAAGTGTTTTCCCTGGCCTCACTCATGCGAGGAGGACAGAGATGCTCGCATGGGAAGCAGAGAGTGATGAAAACTCGAAAAAAGCTGGCACCCCACAAGCCATCGTCCAGCAGTAGAGTTAGACAATCAGAGGCGATCTGTGTCCCTGGTACCCCACCCAGGACAGCCAATACTCAACTTGCTTGGGCCATGGCTACTCACCTCCTCGGCCAGCATGGCAAGTGCTTCCCTCATGGCGTTAACATTTGTCACCAGGCCTGATACGGTTGAGATGGGTGCATGAGGGTGGAGAGGGGGGGACAGCTAGGTGAGGAAGGTGCCAAGGGGCGGAAAGGAGGGTGGGAAGGTGAAAGGGAGGAAAAGGTGGGCACCCTGAATGGGTGGGGTGGGATGAGAAGAAACGCAATAATCGGATACATAAAGGGTACCTACGCAATGTTTTAAAAGCTGGTGTACCTGTGTGATGGTACTTGCGGGGTTGGCCATCCACTCCCCAATACTCCCCAACCTGCACAAAAAGCGGATCATATCAGCAGCATGGGCACAGCGTTTATGTCCATTTAGGTTGTGGGAGTTGTGGAAAACCAGCATTCATTGAAAGTGAATCTGTAACGACAAAAGAAGCAGATGGATCATGGCTGAGAAACCACCGGTCCTGAATGAACCCACTCAAGCTCTGTACAGAGTTTACAAGCGATGACTTTTCAATTTCATTTTGTGAAACGAAATAATGTGCAGTCTTGCATGCCGGGTTCATGTCACAGCAGGTCTAGGTTACCAAACGCAGCGTTAAGAGGTTCATATCTTGCGTCTTTCAAGGTTGATGTGCTACAGCCTACAGGGTTCAAATCTCACCAGGTTCATATCGAAGTAGTAAGACTGGACCTGCAGAAAGCACAGCAGAATCAAGATACAGGGATCGAGAGAAATTGTACTAATACACATGCCTTGCCTCAACGAGTTCATATCTAAAGTGTAGAAATGAGACTGCTAACAACCAGCAGCAACATCAGCAAGCAACCAGCAGAAGAGGGCCGAAGGGCATGGGGATGGGAAAAGCACGGGGGCTTCTGTGGTAGGCAGGGAATAAAGCCAGTCAAGGGAGAGCGGGGAGCGCAAAGAGAGACTGAACGCTTGGCAAGCTTAGCCCAATCCATGTTCCTCCTTGTTTTTCCCCTTCAGCCAACCCTGATGCATCCCTCCCCAACAGCCCATCCCGTCCCTCCACACCCTTTCCCATCCCTCCACACCCCTTCCCACTCCCTTTCAGTCACTGCCCTTATCCCAGACTCACAGGCGTGGAGCGGTTGGCGAGCTTCGCACGGGCTCTCTCGCTGAGAGAGAGGGGTGACGGGGCAACAGGCGCAGACAAGCACTTCTGGGAGCCGCTGTAAATGACGTCCACACCCCACTCGTCCACGTGCAGAGGGATCCCTCCCAACGTGCACACTGCATCTACAAACAGCAGCGCGCCTGGTGTAGGGAAAATGGGGGTGTGTGCAAGGGAAGGGTAAGAGAGGCACTTCTGTGAGCCGCTGTAAATGACGTCCACGCCCCACGCGTCCACGTGCAGAGGGATCCCTGACTAACCCGTGCACCCAAAACACCATCTCCACAAACCTGCTACAAGGGCATCTCCTCACCGTGCTTATGGCAGAGCTCTCCCAACCCTTCAAGAGGTTGAAGCTTCTCCATTCTTGACTTTCCGTGCACCCCATCGACCACCTTAACTCCCAAAATCCCCGTTGCACGCAAAGCTGCTGAAAGGCATCTCACCGGCTTATAGCAGAGCCGTCCCAGTCCGTCCAAAGATTGCAGCGTCCCCGTGCTGGACTCGCCGTGCACCACAAACACCACCTTCACTTCTTGACTTCCCCAACACAAGCAAAACCCCGTTACCAGCAGATCCGTTTCAAGAGCATCCTTTCACCATTCTTATGGCAGAGCTCCCCCAACCCTTCCAGAGGCTGAAGCGTCCCCGTGCTGGACTCCCCGTGCACCACAAACACCACCTTCACGCCCACATTCCTCGGAGCAAGCACACCTGCTCTCACCATTCTTATGGCAGAGCTCCCCCAACCCTTCCAGAGGCTGCAGCGTCCCCGTGCTGGACTCGCCGTGCACCACAAACACCACCTTCACGACCGGCATACCCATTACAGGGAACCCTGCTTTAAGAACATGCTCACCATTCTTGTGGCAGAGCTCGCCCAGTCCTTCCAATGGGTGCAGCGTCCCAGTGCTGGACTCGCCGTGCACCAAAAACACCACCTTCACGGCCTGCCTTCCCACCACACGCAAGCAAACCACTCAACAGCAGACCCGTTACAAGCACACCCTCTCACCATTCTTATGGCAGAGCTCCCCCAACCCTTCCAGCGGCTGGAGCGTTCCCGTGCTGGACTCGCCGTGCACCACAAACACCACCTTCACGCCCGAGTTATCCGCCAGAGCCTTCTCCACGTCACAAGCCTCCACTCAGGCCATCCTCTCACCGTGCTTATGGCAGAGCTTCCCCAACCCTTCCAGCGGCTGCAGCGTGCCCTTTATCGACTCCCGGTGCACCACAAACACCACCTTCACGGCCTAAGGATGAAAGCAAGGCTCTCACCATTCTTATGGCAGAGATCTCCCAGCCCTTCAAGAGGCTGCAGCGTCCCCGTGCTGGACTCGCCGTGCACCACAAACACCACCTTCACGCCCGAAGGAGACATTCAAGCTGCTCACCATTCTTATGGCATAGCTTTCCCAGACCTTCCAACGGCTGTAGCGTCCCCGTGCTGGACTTGCCGTGCACCACACCACAAACACCACCTTCACACCCGGGTTATCCACCTGAGTCTTCTCCACGTCACAAACTTGCTACAAAGGCATGCATGCGCTCACCATTCTTGTGGCAGACCTCTCCTATTTTTTGTCGACTCAAAAGCGGGTTGTCCGCCAGAGTCTTCTCCACGTCAGCAACCTGCTCTAAGGCCATGCTCTCACCGTTCTTGTGGCAGAGCTCCCCCAGTCCTTCCAGAGGCTGCAGCATTCCCGTGCTCGACTCCCCGTGCACCACAAACACCACCTTCACTTCTTGGCTTCCCCAACACAAGCAAAACCCCGTTATCAGCAGATCCGTTTCAAGAGCATCCTCTCACCATTCTTATGGCAGAGCTCCCCCAACCCTTCCAGAGGCTGCAGCGTCCCCGTGCTCGACTCCCCGTGCACCACAAACACCACCTTCACGCCCGGGTTATCCGCCAGAGCCTTCTCCACGTCAGCAACGGAAAACACCTTCCCCGGTGCTGCCTCCATCTTCCGGACGTCAGCGCCGTACCTCGCTGCCAGGATCGTCATGCGCTCGCCCCAGATGCCGTTCACTCCGATCAGCACCACGTCGCCAGGCTCCACCACCTGATGCAGGGGAGAGGGAAAGATAGAGAGAGATAAGCTTCTGAGGCGCCTCAACAAATAAGCTGCCACGATCGTCATGCGCTCGCCCCAGATGCCGTTCACCCCGACCAACACCACGTCGCCAGGCTCCACCACTTGATGCAGGGGAGAGGAACATATAAGAATGAATGCACTGAAAGATAAACGATCTCTTACTCTCATTGTATTCTTTCAGTGGAGACCCCCCCAGCCGCCCCTAGCACCACCCAGGTCCCTCCAATCCCCCCTAGTCCCCCCCACCCCACCCTCCTCCCCCCCCCTTCCCCCCGCCCTCCGAGCCCTCCCCAGCCCCCTCCGAGCCCCCCCCAGCCACCTCCGACCCCCCCCCCCCCCCCACCCCCCCCCTCCAGCCCCCTCTGAGACCCCCCTAGCCCCCCCGAATCCTCCCAGCCCTCCCCCAAGCGACCAAGAGGGGAGTGTGCGACTCACAGAGGCGACGGCAGCCTCCATGGCGGCGTGTCCGGAGCCGCTGACGGCGATGGTGAACGGGTTCTGCGTCTGGAAGGTGTACTGCAGCCACGCCTTCACCTCGTCCATGACTGTGAGGAACTCCGGGTGCATCTGCGACGAAGGGAGAGAAGGGGGGGGGATGACAACGGCTACGTGATTTATTTGTTGCGTCTGGAAGGTGTACTGCAGCCACGCCTTCACGTCTTCTATCACCGCAAGGAACTCCGAATGCATCTGTTACGACGGGAATGACAAAGAGGAAGTTGGAACGTATCAGGATTGACATTGGGGATGCACCGGAACGAAAATTCAAGACTGGGCCAAATGACATTTCGAGCCGCAGCCACGTATTGACCTCATCCATGACTGGCAGGAACCAATGGATTTCTGTGCGGCGTCAGAAATAAGAACGGAAAATATACCCACGAAGAATTACATTTCAAGATGTCGCACAAGGAGAAATAACTCACGTGGCCGACGAGAGGCAGGGAAGCGGCGGCAAGGACTCGAGGGTGGGGAGTTGCCGGGCCAGGACCTGAACAAAATTCACGCACAGGGCTGAAAACACAGTTCACCCCACGCCATGAACAAATTTCACGCACAATACTGTCATCCGAATCGCGGTTCACTGTCACAGAAGAACGTCATTGAGGAACTGACGTTGGAGTGGACTAATTGGTAACTTTGATGCCATTCCATCGGTGAACAACCATTACAACGAAAGTTCGAATGGGTGCTCAAATGTTATGCATGTAAACATGTTTCGGATAAGCGTACCCATGAGAATCCTATTCGGAAGGCTTAGCGGCGTCGTCGCTAGCGCGGGCTTGCTGACTTTGAGCTCCGCCATGGCTGCCAAATCCGCGGTGGTCACAAACGCTGAAGCGGCACTGCCCTGACTTATCTGCGCCTGAGCGACACCGAAGTAAAGCGCAGAAAATGAAACCCAGGCTATTGACACTACAAAAGGGAGGAGAATTGCCAAGGAGCTACACGCAACGCCACAAAAAAGGCGTTGAAAGCCGGCGAAACGTTGTCTAAATCCGCTTCTGGAGCTGCACCTTTCAGAAAATGAATCAGCCATGGCTGAATCTGAATTAGTAAATTCATGGATTGAGCCATTCTCCTTACCTCATCCCGCAGAAACATTGCCGATGAAATCTGTGCATTGTGGACCAGTGGTCCCCACAGAAAGATTTTGCCGCGTGAGCATGATGTGGCGTCCGTCATTTCAAGCCCGAAAGGAGGAAGCTTGGAAATTGCGACTTCAGAGAATCAACCACGTGGCTAACCACGTGGAGCTCATGAAGCAGGTTCATGTTTACTGTTACGTGTGCAATTGAACGAGCGAGTGAGAATTGCACTATCGAAGCAATCAATACAGTTAAGCGAAGAGCATGAGCGAAGTTATATAGCGAAGCTAGCGTGGTAACGGTAATGCGGGAAATTGGGGTGCGCTACGGGCCTAGCGGCGAGGTTGGGAATTGTCGAGGCGGAGGTCCGGAGCGCGGGTTACCAACCGAACCGTGAGGTTGGGTCGCATCGTGAACAGTGGCGGGAGTCGTGGTCGAGGCGAATGTCGCGAGCGGGTAACGTTCACGGATGGGTGCCGATGGCGGGAACAGGCATGTACGCGGTAAGCAGGGACGCGAAGTAAGGAAAAGGAATGTTCCTTACATTTACACTCCCTCCCAACAACTGTACCTTGAATATTTTGTCTTCGAATATAGTGCATATGTGCTCATGAATTTCTAAAGAATGTAATTTGTATAGATATTGTAATTTGTAATTTCTAGGCACTTCTTGACGGCTATGGAAGACAAGCTGATCCGTACCAAACAATTACTACAGCAGAGAGTTCATTAGCTTACGCTAAGAAATAGGTAGTTGAAACTGACAGGCTGAACAGCAAGCACAGCATACACATGCAAAACTTATGTATACTAAAAGAGAGTTAGCAGGAGCAGCTGAGCACTCGTAACTAACGCAGGAGATGGTGCCGATGTCAAATTATATATATATACCTGTTTAGGTTAGCTAGGCTGTATGGGGGTTAGCACTAGGGGGTACACAAAGTTCCTCGACACCCTAGTCTTGTACCCACCTTGACCTAATTCAATTACCTTTTGCCTAGGTATCTTAACATGGTATCAGAGCAGGTTCTTAGGACCTAAGAGATTAAGGGCCCACCCGTTACCGTGTTACCAACGGCCTGCCTGCCTGTTAGCCTTATCTCCTGACCGCGCGCGCCTCGGCGGCAGCGCGCGTCACTTAATTTTTTCTCGCGCGCGCCTCAGTTTCTAGTGCGCGCGTCGCTTATTTTTTAGCGCGCGACCCTGCTGTAGAGCCGCGCGCCGGTCGGCGTCGCCCGCGTAGCCCACGTCGAGCCCGCGCGCCCCCCCTTACGCCGCCCGCGCGCAGCCTAAGCAGAGCCCGCCGCCCACGCGCGACGTAGAGCCCGCCGCCCACGCGCGACGTAGAGCCCGCCGCCCGTCGCCACGTGCAGCCAGAGCCGCGCGCAGCACGTAGCCACGCGCAGCAAAGAGCCACGTGCGGCCCTTAGGGTTACGCAGCCAGCAGCCGCGCGCGCCCTACCTGTGTGCTTGCCTGTAAGGCTCCTTGCTGCCGAACCCACTGCCTTCACACTGTACGGCCTTTCACAGTCTAGAGCCCCACCTTCGGAGCTCGGGTGCAGCAAGTACTGCCCTGCACGTTGCCTGTACTGCCTACTGCCTACTGCCTAAGTTTTAGCCTGCTGCCTACTGCCTACTGCCTCGTGTCTACTGCCTGCCTGCTTTCTGCTGCCTTTGCCTACTGCTGTTATGACGACGCCTAATGTTCTCGCGTTCGAACCTGACGGTCGCCCCATAGAGTTCACTGTGTGGCTAGATGACCTGCAACTGTTCCTTCTGACTGATGCCAAAGAGGGCGTTTCACTGTTCGATTACGTGTCTGGCACTGCCGTTGCTCCTGCTGCTGATGCTCCTGCTCTCGAACGCTCGCAGTGGCAGACTCGCGATGCTGCTGCACGCCTAGCGATTAGGAACCATCTGCCGATCACTGAGCGCGCGCATTTCAGCCAGCACAAAACTGCTAAGACACTGTACGACGCTGTAGTTGCGCGCTACTCCTCCCCGGCCACTGCAGCCATAGGTCGACTCATGCTACCCTACCTGTTCCCCGACCTTTCCTCGTTCACCACTGCTGAGGACCTCATTTCCCACCTGCGCGCTACTGACACTCGCTTTCGTGCCGCCCTTTCAGCCGAGTTTTGCGCCGCAAACCCCCCCCCGATGTACTTCACTCTCTATTTCCTCGTCACCCGCCTCCCTGACACTCTTAGCTCGGTCAGGGACCACTTCCTAGCGCTAGACCCCCCCACTCTCACTGTCGACGACTTCGAGAAGCACCTCCTAGCAGCAGAGAAGAACATCCTCGCTGTAGGTGCGGCTCGTGGCACTCCGCGCTCTCCCCTCTTTGAGGGGTGCTCCCCCTCCCCTCTCACCCCCTCCTACGCCTCCGCAGCTGCTGCTCACGACTACCTTGGTGCTGAGGAGGTCGGGGCTGCTTCCGCTCCTAGTGGGAAGCGTCGCAGCGGCAGGGGCGGCAGGGGTGGCAGGGGCGGTGGGGGCGGCGGTGGAGGCGGCGGTGGTGCAGGCGGCGGGGGCGGTGGAGGTGGTGGGGGTGGTCGCGGGGGTGGAGGGGGTGGAGGTGGTGGTGGGGGCGGCGGAGGCACTGGGGGCGGTGGAGGGGGCGGCAGCGGCGGTGGGGGAGGAGGGAGCGGTGGTGCCAGTGGTGGTCAGGGCCAGCAGCAGCAGCCGCAGCAGCAGCAGCAGCAGCAGCAGCAGCGTCAGCGTCAGCGCCAGGCCCCCACTTCCCAGCAGCTTCTTGACTGGTATGCCGGGCGTGGGGCTTCTGGGGGTCCTGGTCGCTGCCCCTATATCATCCGCACAGGTCCCCGCGCTAACCGCGAGTGCACAGGGTTTCACACTGAGCAGCGCTGCTTCGCTCGACTTAGCGACGCCTGGCGCGCCAAGTTTCCTGATGCTACTGAGTTCCCCAACTGGGCAGACTTGCTTAGGCGTGATGTACCAATCTTTGATCTTGACTATGAGGCTATTCTAGCTGCTATGTATGCATTGTCTGTTAGTGCTGAGGGTGACTGCTACTTGTGTGTGCCGCCGGATCCTGGTATAGCCCCTGGTATAGCCCCTGCAGCACTAGGTGCTTGTGAGTCTGCTCCCCTTGGTACTGCGCCTGCACAGGCCTTGCACACTTTTACACTTGACTCTGGTGCTTCCCGCTGTTTCTTTCGCGACAGTACCACAGTCACCCCCCTTCCTGCACCTGTTCCTGTCTCACTGGCTGACCCCTATGGGGGCCCAGTGCTTGCACGGTCTTCCACTGTGCTTCCGTGTCCGGCGGTCCCGTCTGGTGAGCTGTCTGGTCTCCACCTCCCCTCGTTCTCTACGAACTTGGTGAGCAACGCTGTCCTCCAGGATGCGGGTGTTGACACCTTCACCCCTGGCCGACAGCGTGTGGCGATCTGTACGTGCTCCCAGACCGGCCGCCACCTGGCCACGTTCACCCGTGCGCCAGGGTCCAGTCTGTACACCCTCACCACTGCGTCGCGTTCCACCACTTTGTCTCCCCAGCTGCACGCGTCTGCTCAGGTAGCTACCCAGTGTGAGTGTCGCCGGCTGTCCCACGACACTCTCCTGTGGCACCACCGCCTGGGCCACCCCTCCCTGCCTCGCCTTCGTAGCATGCACTCTCGCTTTCTGGTCTCTGGTCTTCCCAGGTCTCTGCCTGCCCTCCCTCCCTCGCCTGCGCCGCCCTGCATTCCTTGCGTCGAGGGGCGGCAGCGCGCCGCTCCTCACTCCTCCTCGTTCCCTCCCACAGAGGCTCCACTGCAGACTCTCCACCTGGACGTGTGGGGCCCAGCCCGCGTCCGTGGACAGGGCCACGAGCGGTACTTCCTGCTGGTTGTCGACGACAGCACGCGCTACACCACGGTCTTCCCCTTGCAGCGCAAGGGGGATGTCCCTGATATTTTGATCCCCTGGATCCGCGCTACTCGTCTCCAGCTCCGCGAGCGGTTCCAGTCGGACTTTCCTGTCCTGCGTCTGCACTCTGACAGAGGTGGTGAGTTCTCCTCAGACCTCTTGGCCGCCTTCTGTGCGGAGCACGGCATCCGCCAGACTTTCACGCTTCCGGCCTCTCCGCAGCAGAATGGGGTTGCTGAGCGCCGCATTGGCTTAGTCATGGAGGTCGCTCGTACCTCCATGATCCATGCGGCTGCCCCCCATTTTCTGTGGCCGTTTGCGGTCCGGTACGCCGCGCATCAGCTCAACCTTTGGCCCCGTGTCTCCTTGCCGGAGACCTCGCCCACACTGCTGTGGACGGGGAAGGTTGGCGACGCGTCGCGTTTCCGGGTCTGGGGTGCTCGTGCCTTTGTTCGCGATACCACCGCGGACAAGCTCTCCCCTCGTGCCATTCCTTGCGTCTTCCTTGGCTTCGTCCCTGATGCGCCTGGCTGGCAGTTCTACGACCCCGCCTCGCGCCGTGTCTTTGCGTCCCAGGACGTCACCTTTGACGAGTCAGTCCCCTTTTACCGCCTCTTCCCCTACCGCACTGCTCCTCGCCCTCTCCCGCCGCTCTTTCTTGCCCCAGGTCCTCCCCAGGTAGACCCCCTCCCCGCGCCAGGTCCTGCTCCTTCAGGTGTTTCTCAGGTAGACCCTCCCGTCCCTGCGCCTGTTGAGGTCACTCGTGACTCCGGTCCTGCTGGTGGTGGTGCTGTCCCTGGGGGTGTGGAGCTTGGGGGTTTGCAGCGTGGGCGTGCTGAGTCTGGGGGAGCTGGGCGTGAGGGGCCTGAGGGTACGGAGCCTGGGGGTGCTGAGCCTGCGCGTGAGGAGCCTGGAGGTCCTGCGTCTGGGGGTGCTGAGTCTGGGGGTGCTGAGCCTGCGTGTGCGGAGCCTGGGGGTGCTGAGTCTGGGGGTGAGTCGCCTGAGGGTTCTGAGACTGCTGTTCCGCGGTCTCCTTGGAGTAGCCGTCTTCGTCCGCGTGTGCCTCTCACCTCCCAGCAGCTGCACGACTGGTACGGTCGCCGTCAGCGTCGCGCTTCTGCACCTCAGGGTTCTACTGCTGGGGGTTCTTCTGCTGGCGTCACTGGAGCTGAGAGTGGTGCTGGTCCTTTGCCCGCTGGAGGTGTTAGTGTCGCTGGTCCCGGAGGTGCTCGTACTGGGAGTGCTGGAGCTGCTGGGGCTGACGGTGGTGTGTCTGAGGGTGCTGCTGCTGGTGGCACAGCGATTGGAGACCCTGGGACTGGAGGTGCCGGTTCTGGGGGTGCTGCACCAGGTTGGGCTGGTGCTGAGGGTTCTGGAGCTGCTGGAGGTGCTGGGGCTGCTGAGGGTACTGGAGCTGCTGGAGGAGCTGGAGCTGCTGGGGGTACTGGAGCTGCTGAGGGTGCTGGTGGTGCTGGAGCTGCTGGAGGTGCTAGCGTTGCTGAGGGTGCTGGAGCTGCTGGTGCTGGAGGCACTGCACAGCCGCGCCTGTTCTTTGCTCCGCCGTCTCCGTCGTCTCTGCCCCCGCCTGGCTCCGTGCTTTGCCAGGTTCTTAGCCTCCCGTCGTCTACTGGTCTTCCGTTACAGCCTGGCTCACCTCTGCCTGCTCCTTCTCCTTACGCTGAGCAGACCGGGGGCCTTGCTGAGCGTCGTGAGCCTGCGTCGCGTCCTGTCTCACCTGTCCTTTCCGGTCGTTCCGGTCGTCGGGTTCCTCGTCAGCGTCAGCCGGCTGTCCCCGGCCCTTCCCTTGTCGTCCGTCGTCCTTCCTCTCCGCCGCCACGTGTTCCTCTGCCGTCTCCGCCTGCGTCCTCTCTACCTGTCGTTGCTGACCCCGAGTCTGACCGGTTTCGTGCTGAGCACCCTACTGTCACGCGTCTGCTAGCCACTGTTGTCGCCGACCCGTCGTTTGAGTCTGCTGGTGCGTCTGCCTTGGTCGCTGAGCTTGTCGACTTTGCTGCTCACTGTCGTCTAGACTACGCCGCTCGTCTTGTTGCTGAGTCTGAGTCTGTCTGTCCTCCGTCCGTCGGGGGTGAGTGTGCTCTTGGCACGGACGTCCTTGAGGACAGGCAGGAGGACCTTGAGTGTCTTGCAGCCGCTGCGCCTCATCTCGTGTCCATGCTGCTTGCCCCTGAGGGAGACCCGGATGCACCAGACATCCCGACTCCACGATCGTACGCTGAGGCGATCGAGGGTCCCTACTCCTCTCAGTGGCAGACAGCCATGGACGCAGAGATGGCATCCTGGAAGTCCACAGGCACGTACGTTGACGAGGTTCCCCCTCCTGGGGCGAACATCGTCAGTGGCATGTGGATTTTCAGGGTGAAGCGGCCGCCAGGTTCTCCACCGGTCTTCAAGGCTCGTTACGTTGCTCGAGGCTTCAGTCAGCGAGAGGGAGTTGACTTCTTCCAGACCTTCTCCCCCACCCCGAAGATGACTACTCTTCGGGTGCTGCTACACGTTGCCGCTCAGCGTGACTACGAGCTTCACTCTCTTGACTTCAGCACAGCTTTCTTGCAGGGCAGCCTGCACGAGGAGATCTGGCTGCGCCGTCCACCTGGCTTCACTGGGTCGTTCCCTCCTGGTACCCAGTGGAGCCTCCGACGGCCAGTCTACGGTCTCCGCCAGGCGCCACGTGAGTGGCACGACACACTGAGGACGACTCTTGCGGCTCTTGGGTTTGCCCCGTCGACTGCTGACCCGTCGCTGTTTCTGCGCACCGACACTTCGCTGCCGCCGTTCTACATCCTCGTGTACGTCGACGACTTGGTCTTTGCCACTGCTGACACTGAGGCTCTAGCCCACGTGAAGTCGGAGCTGCAGAAGAGACACACGTGCACAGACCTGGGTGAGCTGACAAGCTATCTTGGCTTGCGGATCACCCGGGACAGAGCACGCCGCACCATCACACTGACTCAGTCACACATGGTGCAGCAGGTCCTTCAGCGCTTCGGCTTCACCTGGTCCTCGGCACAGGCCACTCCTCTGGCTACAGGTCACTCGCTCTCAGCTCCACCTTCGGACGAGTCCGTAGAGCCGAGTGGTCCTTACCCAGAGCTAGTTGGTTGCCTCATGTACCTGATGACTTGCACTCGTCCTGACCTTGCGTACCCTCTTGGCCTTCTGGCTCCGTCTGCATTACGTGGCCACTCAGGCCAACACCGCTGATATATTCACCAAGGCACTTCAGCCTGGTGATCATCAGCGCTTTTGCACTATGCTGGGGCTTGTGCCCACTTTTCCTCACTTGCTGTAGGCTTTGTTTGTACCGTGATCTATATATATACCTGCATGCTTGCTCTAGTAGGTAGAGATCACTGTGCTGTTGTTGTTACATATATATCTCTGCATGTGAACTGGCCTTGTGGCCTTTGCTTGTGCTCAGACTGCGTGGTGACGTTGTGATCCACCCTGAGCTGTGTTTTGTTTCTTCTCTTGACTGGTCTTGTGACCGTTGCTTGCCCTGGCTATCCCCCATTTCGCCTATGGGGGTGTGTCAAATTATATATGTATACCTGTTTAGGTTAGCTAGGCTGTATGGGGGTTAGCACTAGGGGGTACACAAAGTTCCTCGACACCCTAGTCTTGTACCCACCTTGACCTAATTCAATTACCTTTTGCCTAGGTATCTTAACAGCCGAGGCCCTTTTGGCCTCAAGGGCGTCTTGGATGGGCTAACCCTGGAAACAGATGGAGGAATGAGCATAGTGTCAGAATATATTTCTGTATAACTGCATGTAGTTCTAGCTGTAGTGTAGTTCTATTGCTGTCCTGTTAGGTGGTGCACCCTTTGGCTTGCTATAACTTGTAACTCTTCTCATAGTGAACACACATTCTTGTTTCTCCCTTGGTTAACACCCTCGACCTCACCCTTGCTACTCTCGTCCTAGCTAAACCCTAGGCTACTAAGCCTACTAAGTTAAGAACCTATTTCAACACATAGTTAGGAAGACTTCACGAGAATATTGCTGCAGCATATTACAGTAAGTAGTGCAGCTCCGTACCTAATTGGCAGGCTACCCAATATAGCTCCACTGCAATTCAACGCAGCCATTGCACTCTCCGCCTGCAAACAGATGGTAGTGATGTTAGAAGATTGCAGACAACGCCATGCTTCTGGAAACTTACAGCACCACAGGGACAATGCTTGACCCCCCCCCTGGCAAGAAAAAGACTTACCATCACGAACTCCACAAAGGCAATCCTAGTGGAGTGCTGAGAGTCTCCAAGCAACCGAAGACGTGAAACCTATCAATGAAAAAATGAGCCATGTTAGAATAGAAGAAGAGGGTAATGATGACGTCAGGTAGCTATTCCATCATAGCTTGCACACATACCTCTCCACAGAGTGACTCAAAGAACAGCTTCACATCAGAATGAGCAACCTGCAAAGACAAAAGGGCGTCAGTGAATTTGATTCATCGCATACACCATGAACATGGGAAACAATCCAAGTACAGCTCACCTTCTTATCAATGTTTGTACAGTAGATAGTGCGAGCACACATTTCCTTCTCGCCCTGGCTCTGAACATAGCAAGGGGAGAGACATGTGAGTAACTTTTCTAAGCAAAGAGGCGACAAACTCAGCAAAGGCTGAAGCGGGCAGTCTTGTTTGTACCTTGGGCAGATAGTTGGGGTTAACTGGCAGAATGGCAGTCTTTGAAGGTAAGACGCGGAGTGGGTAGTATCCCAGCATGGTTCCTGCTACAGTCAGGGCTTTTTTTGCTCCTTCTGCAACATAAAAACCCACAAGCAACACAACGAGAAGTAGCGTTAAAAAAAGTTGCGAGCTGTTAGTAGCACTCTGCGAAACATGCTGGAGCATGACTTACCTTCATTTGTGAATTCTACAAAAGCAAATCGAAGGATAGAATTGGGGTCTCCACAGATTCGACAATCAACGACCTGCTTAGGAGTCACATAAAGCGTTTCAGTTGAAATCAATAAAATGCTGTGATGATGAATGAAGAAAAACAAGAGTGTTATACCTGACCGCAGGACAAGAAAAGTGTAGCAAGTTGTTCTTCTGTAACCTGCATAGGGAAGAGGACAAGAGACGACCAAAGGTTAATGAGAACAGTATGTTGGAAGGAGTCACGTGATACCACACAAAAATAACGGCTGATGGAGTCAGACATGTCCCCCGTGAAAAAAGGACGGTGTCAATACCTGCTGATCAATGTCAGAGACATAAACGGTCCTCTTGATGGATTCTTCGGTGGAAATTTGTGACGTTCTCGGTTGTCGTCGCCAACGTTCGGCACAAGCAGGAACTTTCTGCAGCTGCAAAGTATGAAAGAGAATGATTTCAGATTAGAGGGTCCAGATGTTTCAGAAGTCGGATGATCAGAAAAACGAGACGGTTTAGAAATTGAGACTCACCTTCTGCATGGAATTCCTCTTAAAAGAAGCGTATCTGGATGGAATAGTCCGAACAATAGCAGTCGGCCTGTGCTGCACTGTCGATGGGACATACTCCTCCGCATTTGGATTGAGGCGCTGTAACATTGCCTCAATGTCCATCATGTTCTGCTGATTGGCGTCCGACTGAAGTTCTGAAGTAGCATTTTGACACGAATCACCAAAATTGGTGATCGTGCCAAGGTATGGCTGGTGGAGAACGGCAGCATAAGCACTCAATGCGTGATACTGCTGATAGAGGGACGCGATCTGTTCTGCAGAGTAACCCTGGAATGACTGCATGAATGAGAGTGCGTTCTGATCAGATAATGCCGACGGGTCAACGACCCACACAGTATGAGGGCTGTACATCATCTGAGAAACATCATACTGCTGCTGAACTAGGATCACGTCGCTCCCAGAGTCAGTGTCACTGAGAGTGGCACTTTCATCACTGCAGACACTTGAAGCCTGATTATCATGAACCTCTTGAGCCGTCTCTACCTCAGCCATTGTCATCACAAGGTCAGCGATGAGGAGAGTACTGCTTTGACGTCCGTGAGAAGGTACTCGCACGAAAACACGAGGTACTACTACCGAGTGATACTTGAAGGTACCGTAGCTGGTCTGGCCAGTTATTAATTTCTAGTAGTGGTGCTGTTGGAGGAGCACCGCTGAATGCCATTTAGCGTCGTTTCCCAGCAGTTATCAACTCGCTGTGTGGTTGTGGGAAGAAGCCAGAAAGACGCGCGAAGCGAATTACAGCCGACAGATGCTGTCAGTGCGTCTCCGTCTCGTGCCTTGAAATCCGTCGGCCCGTCGGAATGTCTGTATCTGCAAAATGCTCGATCCGCTAAGAGGCTTGATGAAAGAGCAGTTTTCCCGTGACCTAATGACGGAGACGCCTCGGGGATTGCAAATTCTGTTTCGTGGTTCCGTCTATTTGACGAAATAATCAGCTCAGGTGATTCCTTCTGCCCGGCAATTGGCGGCCAGAGGTTCAAGGCAGGCACTTGACAGAATGTCCCACGGACACGATGGTAGGAAGGACGCTGATTGCCAGCGGAAGGTGTCGTGACTCCATCCCAGTCGGGGTCAGGCCGAACATCCCTCCATCCACCCTCCTTTCCCCTGTCGTTCATCCATCTGGCTGAACAACCCTCCACCGTCGCCTGTCGCTGCGAAGGGGAACATACGTCAGGGGGGGTGTGGCCCGTACCAGACGAGTCGTTCGGCTCGACAGCGGGAGGCAAACCGCCCAAGTCTTTCGCTGCAGCAGCTTGCCGTTGGGTGTGGCGAAATGTACAGTCCCAATCTAGGTTACGGCCCATCGGGAATGCCGGGGGAGTGCGAAAAGCGAACAAGGCTCGACGTGTCGACGTCGGGAGGGTTGCGTAGAGTGTTATAGAATCTCTTATACCGTCTCTCACGCCTACGGTACATGAAGAGTACTGGTATTTCAGTAGTAACTTACAAATGAACAAATTAGCATAACAATAGTGAAATGAAATATTTCGATCCGTAATAGATGGACACCACTAATTAACCACCATACGTCAATACTGCGCCTGAAAAAAGAACATAGCCTAATGTGAGCAAATAATTGCATTCCAATCAACAAAATAATGTATGATTTGTTGTTTCGTTGTAATAAAAGTTGCAAACAAAAGGTACACTTAAGTTGACCAAATCGAATAACATATTGACAAGAAGATATGAATGACACATATTTCTACTGCTCAATTATCAACAATCAAACCACTAGCAACAGATTGGAATGTATATACCTTGGGGAACCAACTTACACTAAAGAGGATATTTTGCTGACTTGGTTTGGCTAGGGTTTCGTTCTCCTCCCAACCAACTGCTCCTCTCAAATGCTCTCTACCCTTTCTCTCACGCTCTTTCCAACTCTCGTCAATCTAGAACTCCTACGACCTTCTCAGGTACTACGCTACCTTGTTAGTGCCTAAGCCGCGCGCGCCTAGAGCGCTTGCCCTTGACCCTCGCACATTAGGCAAAATAGCATAGAGCACTCGCGGCCTTAGCGCTCAAACCTAGGCCGATGGCGCCTAGGTGGCTGGCCCTTGGGCGTTAACGCCAAGGGCGTTGGCCTTAGGGCGCTCGCGCCTTTGCCGTCATTGGCGTGTAAGGCGCGGGCGCCGTTGGCGCTGGCGCCGTTCGCGGTGGCCCCTTTGGGCGCGGGCGCCGTGGGCGCTGGCGCCTTTTGGCGCTGGCGCTGGCGCTGTCGCCGTTTGGCGCAGGCGCTGGCGTTGGCGCCTTTTGGCGCTGGCGCTTGCGCTGTTTGGCGCTGGCGCTGGTGCTGGCGCCTTTTGGTGCTGGCGCTGGCGCCTTTTGGCGCTGGCGCTGGCGCCGTTTGGCGCTGGCGCTAGCGCCTTTTGGCGCTGGCGCTTGCACCTTTTGGCGCTGGCGCTGGCGCTGGCGCCGTTTGGCGCAGGCGCTGGCGCCATTTGGCGCAGGCGCTGGCGCCTTTTGGCGCTGGTGCTGGCGCCTTTTGGCGCTGGCGCTGGCGCCGTTTGGCGCAGGCGCTGGCGCCTTTTGGCGCTGGTGCTGGCGCCTTTTGGCGCTGGCGCTGGCGCCGTTTGGCACTGGCGCTGGCGCCGTTTGGCGCAGGCGCTGGCGCCTTTTGGCGCTGGTGCTGGCGCCTTTTGGCGCTGGCGCTGGCGCCGTTTGGCGCTGGCGCTGGCGCTGGCGCCGTTTGGCGCAGGCGCTGGTGCTTGCGCCTTTTGGCGCTGGCGCTGGCGCCTTTTGGCGCTGGCGCTGGCGCTGGCGCCTTTTAGCGCTGGCGCCGTTTGGCGCAGCCGCTGGCGCCTTTTGACGCTGGTGCTGGCGCCGTTTGGCGTTTGCGTTTGCTGATGTCATGTGCACATGGTGATAACTCATACCCTCTCCTCCCCCGCCCGTTCTCCACACCCGCTTTCCAGAGATGTGGCTTGCAAGGGCTCCGCGGCGGCGGCAACAGCAACGGGGGGCTGCGAGCAACGTCGGCACAAGACGGTGAGCGAGGGGAATAGACAGTAGAAAATGACGACAGGGCGAGGAAGTGGGCGAGTACGGCTAGGGAGAGGGAGAGGGAGAGGGAGAGGGAGAGGGATAGGGAGAGGGAGAGGGAGGGGAAGAGGTAGAGAAAGAGGGAAGGAGAGGGCAGGGGTTGGTAGAGTTGTATAGAAATACGGAGGTTAAGAAATGTAACCAAATTTTGTGTTTTCTAGAACTTTGGGCATTGTTATCTTTCGGGTTGGCTTCTAGGGTACTTGGTTGGGCACGTTAACGTAGTGCTATGGCGGCGTGGGCCCTAACTTCCCGGTCCCTTTTCCTTCCCCCCCCCCCCCCCCCCCCCCTCTCTCGAATCTTACCTAATTTCTCATACCTTTGTTTGTAGTTTATGCTTATCGATGTTGGTTTCCTCTTGCGTTTCACTTCACTACCAATAAAATATTGGGAGAGAGCGGATGTGAGAGTGAAGGAAGAGCTGGAGGGAGCACCAAGAGCGTGTGGTAGGGAGCGTGGGAGGGAGAGGCGGCGTGCACCGTTGGCCTGGGCTCCATGGGCTGTTGTGCCTAAGCCGATTCCGCTTAGGGCGTGAGTGTATGTGAGTGGTTGCAAGAGTGAGTGCGGTGTGAATTGGTGCGAGTGCGGGTGGGTGCAAGATTGAAATGTGCGCATGCAGTTGAGGGTGAGTGCGGTTGTGAGCGCAAGTGTTAGCGTGAGTGCGATGGTGAATGAGAGAGCAAGTGTGAGCGTGAGTGCGCGAGCGAGTGTGAAAGCAAGTGTGGTAGGGAGTGAGGGCGAGTGCAAATGTGAGAGTGAGTATGGGTGTGAGTGCGAGGTTGAGTGCAAGGGTATGGGTGTGAGTGCAAAAGGGAGTGCGAATGTGCGTTCGAGTGTGCGTGCTAGGATGAGTACGAGGATGAGTGCACGTGTTTGTGTGTGTGTTTCTGTGAGTGCTGAAGAAGAGTTGTGAGTGAAGAGCGAGTGTGATAGTGAGTGCGAGGGCGAGAACAAGGGTGATCGCGGGTATGAGTGCGGGTGTGAGTGAGAAGTGCGTGCGACGGCGTGTGCGAGAGCAAGTGTGTGAGTGGGTGCGAGATTGAGTACAAGAGTGAGTGCGTTTGTGAGTGTGAAGTTGAACTTGAGGGTGGCTTCAAGGTATGGCATCATGCTGGTGTAGTATCTGTGGTGCCACGACTGATACCCATTTTCCTCTGTGAGCTGTCAAACCCATTGCTCATCTTCTTTTATTGTGTTTATTTCGTGTCTAGTGTGTGAGCTGCATTCTCTGCTTTTGTTTTCTTTTGCAATGCTATGAGGTGTACTCTTTGTTTTTGTTTTCTTATGCAGTGGGGGTGAGTTGTTTCCTGCTTGGCCTCCGCACATGAGTTGCATTCTCTGTTTATTGTTTTCTTGTACACAATGTGTGAACATCCTCTTTTTTTGCTTTCTTGTGCGGGGCGTATGTTGCATTCTCTGTTTTTACTATGTGCAGGGTGCGTGAGCTGAATTCTTTGATTATGTTTGGCGGAGAAGGGAGATGAGGGAGGCAATGGGAGGGAGATGAGGGAGGGAGGGAGGGAGGGAGGGAGGGAGGGGTGTAGGGAGGATAAGGGGTGATTGGCTAGTGATGATTTCTTAATAGCTGAATGTCATGATGGTTGTGTGCTGACTATCTGTATGTATCTGTGCTTGTTTGCGTGCGTGTCAGTGTGTGCGTGTGTCTCAGTGTGTATGTGTGTGTGTGAGCATGTGTGAGATATGTATCGTATGTACAGTAGTGTTGTTTGTATCGTTTGTGTCTGTCTCAAGGCGTGTGCTGAAGTGCCTCGTGTATGCAACTCAGGTTGTGATCGCCGGTGGGGCAATAGCCTTAGCGTGCCAGACCAACCTTTGTTGCATCATCGATGCATTTTAGCATTCTCCCCAAGACACTCATAATCGTTATGCGTTGTCGTCGTTGTACCAGTACAATGTCGTGTGTGCTCGTTCGTGTTTGTTATAAAGTGTCATGTTAAACTGTGTCGGTTCTGCAATTGAGGTGGGGATCGTTGTTGGGGCAGCGTTGCTCGCCTTAGCATACCGGATCCATCGCTGTAGCACCGATGCAGTTTATCATTCACTTTATGACATTTGTTGTTGAGTGTTGTCGTTATGTTCCGTAGATGCAAATACCGTAATTTGCATCCTCGTCGAATTTGTTGTCTCGTCAATTGTGTTTGATGTAAAATATGTTAAGGCCACCAATTGTTTCCATTCGCCGTATTTATCGACGATTATGGAACAATTGGTCTCATTTGGTTTCACTATTTTGGCGACTCTTGAGTTTCAGTGCAGTCATCTCCACACATTTGAAGCAATCTTTCTCGAAACTTCAAAGAGATTGCTTCAGACGCTGGGAAAATGACAAAAATTTCACTGTTCATTCGAGTCGACCGAAAAAAGTGCTACCAAATGTAAAGGGGTTGCTACTCAACCCAAAAACCGCAAGAATTAAAGCAGCGGTATACATTTGGCAGGGCCAGTGCCAAAAGTTTATAAAAGGTACATGGTGGTTACCGAATTACAAGCCCACCCAACCTCTCTCGAGAAACGAGGGGCCCCCAACTCCCCCCAGCTCACCCGACTGTCAAAAGTTTATAGATGGCAAAAGTATACTAATTCGTCTCCCCCGCAGGAGCGAACTCACGTAGCATTCTTAGCGTGCGCTACTAGAATAGTCCTACCCACACCGTTGAAATTCGGAGCTTAGGGTTACGTCATACACAGAAGGTTGCGCCGGCGCCAGCGTAGCCGAATACGCATTCATTCGTCGGTCGCCGCTGCGTCGCCGTGTAGCTTGACCGCACTGTACGTAGAAATCCCGTTGCCTCCCCACGCAGCCTAGAGTCGATCTCTGTTGCGTTATCCAGCCGCCGCAAATCGCCTTTGCATCGAGCCCCTAGTAGTGTCCTCGCCCCACCGCAACTTGCTGCCTCGTAGGCACGCCTCAAAGCTCGTCGCGGCGTCGCCTCGCCACAAATCTGTCCGAATCGCGGCGTCGCATTGCCGCAACTCCGCGTGCGGGTTTTCGCATCGCCGCAAATCCGCTTGCGGCGTCGCATCGCCGCAAATCCGCGCGCCGCGTCGCATCGCCGCAACTCCCCGCGCATCGTCTCGTACCACCAAACCCGCACGCGGAGTCGCATCGACGCAAATCCGCACGCGGCGTCGCGCCGCAAATCCGCACGCATCGGCGCCTCGCCGCCCCACGCTGCCTCCTCACGCGACCGCGATCACGCGGGCCGCGCCACACATTGCGCCTCCCAATATCTTCAGTCCGCTGCCCTCTCCCACTTTACGGCCTCCCGATCTCCCTTCTACCGCCTCCCATTCTCCCCTTCGAAACTCCCCTTCACCCCTTACCGCCTCCCTGCATCCACACCTCCTCTGATTTTATCCCCATCCCCCCTCCCTGCATCCCCATGTCCCCAATATCTCCCCATCCAACCCCATTCCGCCACTTCCCTACCCGCATCTCCGCTTCCCTCCCTTCCCTGCCTTCCCTGCCTTCCCTCCGTTTCATCTCTTCCCTGGGGTCCTTCCCTTCCATCCCGTCTCTCCCTTCCCTCCCGTCCCTCCCGTCCCTCCCCTCCCTCCCGTCCCTCCCGCCCCTCCCTTCTGTCCCTGCCCTCCCTTCTCTCCCTGCGCTCCCTGCCCTCCCTTCCCTTCCTTCTCTCCCTTCTTTCCCTTCCCTCCCTTCTCTCCCTTCCCCTCCCTTCTCTCCCTTTCCGCCCTTCTCTCCCTTCCCTCCCTTCGCTCCATTCCCGCCCTTCTCTCCCTTCCCGCCCTTCAGTCCCTTCCGTCCCCTCCCTCCCTTGCCTCCCTTGCCTCCCTTCCCTCCCTGCCCTCACCTACCTCCCTTTCCGGGCCTTTCTCTCCCTTCCCTCCTTTCCCTCCCTTCCCTCCCTTATCTCCCTTCCCTCCTTTATCTCCCTTCCCTCCCTTCTCTCCCTTCCCTCTCCTCGCTCTCTTCCCTACCCTTGCAGCCTTCCCTCCCTTCCGTCTCTTACCTCCCCGCGATTTCCCTTCTCTCCCGTCCCGCCGTTCTCTCCCTTCCCTCCCTTCTCTCCCTTCTCTCCCTTCCCTCCCTTCTCTCCCTTCCCTCCCTTCTCTCCCTTCCCTCCCGTCTCTCCCTTCCCTCCCTTCTCTCCCTTCCCTCCCTTCTCTCCCTTCCCTCTTTTCTCTCCCTTCCTTCCATTCATTCCCTTCCCTCCCTTCTCTCCCTTCCCTCCCTTCTATCCCTTCCCTCCCTTCTCTCATATCTCTCCCTGCATCTCCCTTTCCTCCCTTCCCTCCCTTCCCTCCCTTCCCTCCCTTCCCTCCCTTTCCTCCCTTCCCTCCCTTCCCTCCCCTCCCTCCCTTCCCTCCCTTCCCTCCCTTCCCTCCCTTTCCTCCCTTTCCTCCCTTCCCTCCCTTCCCTCCCTTCCCTCCCTTCCCTCCCTTCCCTCCCTTTCCTCCCTTCCCTCCCTTCCCTCCCCTCCCTCCCTTCCCTCCCTTCCCTCCCTTTTCTCCCTTCCCTCCCTTCCCTCCCTTTTCTCCCTTCCCTCCCTTCCCTCCCTTCCATCTCTTCCCTCCCTTATCAACCTTCCCAGCCTTTTCTCTCTTTCCTCCCTTCCTCCCTTCCCTCCTTCCCTCCTTCCCTCCCTTCCCTCCTTCCCTCCTTCCCTCCCTTCCCTCCCTTCCCTCTCTTCCCTCCCTGCGAGCTCTTTCCTCCCTTCTTTCCCCCCCCCCACCTTCTCCTCAATCCCTCAGCACCGCCCCCATCGGCGCCAAACATTTTGGGCCGCCCCTTGTGCGTCTCCTCCCTTTTGTTCATTCATAACATCCCGCCTTGCCCATCTCCCTTCCCCGCCTCCCCATCTCCCGTTCCTCTCAGGTCCTCTCTTTCTGCCCTTCAGGCCCACCCTTTCATCCTCACCCCTCCACTTCGCCTCCCCATCTCCTCAAGCCCTCTAACCTTCTTGTCATCCCGCCTCCCCATCTCCGATATCTCCCCATCCCTTCTCGAGGTCCCGGGTCCCCATGACAGCTGCCGCCTCCCAATCTCCCCTTCATCCTGGCCTTACCTTCCATCCCTCCCATCCCTCCCTTATCTCTCTTCCCTGCCTTCCCTCCCTTCCCTCCCTTCCCTCCCATCCCTCCCTTCCCTCCCTTATCTCTCTTCCCTACCATCCCTCCCTCCATCCCTTCCCTTTTTTTGCATACCTTCCCTTTCATGCCTCCCATCACCTCTCCCTGCCGTCCCATCTCCCCGTCATGCCTCCCACCATCTCCATTCTCGAACAGCCCCATCTCATGTCATCACTTCACCTCTTCTCCCATCGTTGCCACCCCTCCGTCCCTTTTTCAACTCTTCTCCCATCGTCACACTCGCTACGTCCGCCCTCACACTCTTCCTGCCATTCTCACCCAGTCCTCACCACCATCCCTCCCTTCCTGCTTCCTATAACCAACCCCCTCGTCCCGCCTTCTCCTTCCTCCATCCCTCCAATTCCCTTCCCTTTCTTTGGCCTGCCCCTTACCTTCCTTCCCTCCCCTTCCTTCCCTTCCCTTCCTTCCCTCCCCTCGTGCCCTCTAGTTCCCGTGCATGTGCTGCCATCACTTTTGCCCCATAAATGCCTCTAACTCATTTGTAATCACATGTATTTCCTTTCTCCCGTCCCTGCCTTCCCGACACACCTCTTCCATCACACCTCCCTGTCTTCACGTCACACCTCCCTGCCTCCCCATCACACCTCCCTGTCTTCCCTCCATGGGTTTGGGGACCCATTATTTACAGCTGCGACACCAGGTGTCAGGGTACATGTATGCTTGGGAAAAGCAGCCAGTGTTGCATTCACATGCTGCTCCGTACAAATGTGGGTGCACGCTTTGCCCCAGCTACAAGCAGGACAACAAAGCCTGGCCCAAGCAAGCTTGGCGGCGTGAAGGGAGGTGCATCAGGTCCCAGGAGTGTGTGAAGGCGTGAAGATGACACCAAGAGTAGAGGATGGTCCTGTTGTGTATACATGGCGATGATTCTAACATATGTACATACAGGTTTGAAAGCTCCTTTCATCCCGACATCATGTGCAAACCTAAGGATGGTTATAGAATGAGGAAAGGTGATTGAAAGACATAGGTATCCTAGGTTTGGATGGATGTAAACATTACTTGCAATACAAAGGTGTTGTAACATGCTATGAATAGTAAGGTGCACTGAAGGCAGGCCTAAGCTGAACAAAAATGGTTCCTCTTGTTCCATGCTGCATGCGAGAGCCCTGAAAGGGAGTGTGGTGATAACTGGGGGTGGAAAATGGAAACAACGGGTAGGAAGGCGGGGGAGTGAGGGTAAGCCCGGGGAGGATGGAGCAATGGAGCTAATCTCCCTTTCCGCTTCCCTCTCATCCCTCCTTGCAATCTCCCGTCCCTCCGTCCCTCTCATCCCTAGCAAGGGATGCTAGGGCAATGGGGGGAAAGGGAGGGCAGGTTTGGAGTTGGACTGAAGGAGGAGCGCAGCAGGTAGTGAATGGTGGTTGGGGAGTGCCAGGGCAGAAGGGGAAGGGCAGGGGTGAAATGACAGGGCAGGGTAGGGAGGAATACCAATGTCTCACCTCGTGCCGAATCGTTGGTTTTGTCCTCTTTGCCTTCACGGAAGTGGCGCCTTGTGTGAGGGAGTTGTGCCTTAGGGGTATGTGTGCAAGCTAGCCTGCACCTAAACGCGGGGCAAATATGGGCAAAATGTGGGGATAGCAAGGGTTAAACATGGGGCTAGCAGGGGGAAACATGGGACTAGCATGGGGGTAACATGGGGCTAGCAGGGGGGAAATATGGGGCTACCATGGGACATAACAACCCTCCTGTGAGGGCATGGAGGTTCCTTTGTTGCTGAGCGCACCTCACGGTGCTGGGAGCTTTCATGCACTCACAACCCAGCCTGGGAAGGCTCAGGGGAGGGAGGGAAGCGAGGATGTGACAGGGGAAGGCGAGTAAGAGTTTGAGGGCACTGAGGTCTCTTTGTTGCTGAGCGCTCCACACACTGCTGGGAGCTTTTATGCACAGAACACCCAGTCTGGGAAGGCTGAGGGAAGGGAGGGAGAAGAGGACGTGACTAGGGAAGAGACGGAAGGGCTGCTCGGTTCCTTTGTTGCTGAGCGCTCCACACGCTGCTGGGAGCAGTGATGCACTGACCACCCTCTTTCTAAACATGGGGCTAGCACCTTGTATAAACCTGGGCCAAGCATGGGGGGACACATGGGGCTGGCAGTGACGACACAACCGACTATCACGGGGAGAATATGGGGCTATCAGGGGGGAGAAATGGGTCTGGCATGGGTGAAATGTGAGGCCTGCAGGGGGATAACATGGGGCTACATTGAGGCAAACATGGGGCCCGCAGTATGGGGGAAACATGGGGGGGGGGAATGGGGCATCCCTAGGGGGAAATATGGGGCGTTCACGGGGTATTTTGGGGCTGGCAGGGGGGAAACATGGGGCTAGTAACACAGGGCTAGAAGGGGGGTAACATGGGGCTAACATTGGGAATAGATTGGGCTAGCATGGGGGGAATATGGGGCTATCAGGGGGGGAATATGAACGTGAGCGCCCGGGGAAAACGTGGGGCCTGCAGCCGGTAACATGGGGCCTGCAATGAGAATCATGGGGATAGCGTGGAGGAATCATGGGGATGGCTCGGGGGAATCATGGGTGTAGCTTGGGGAAATTATGGGGATAGCTTGGGGGAATCATGGGGATAGCTTGGAAGAATTATGGGGATAGCTTGGGGGACTCTTGTGGATAGCTCGGGGGAAGCATGGGAGCAAAGCTTGGGGATAAACATGACGCTAGGATCGTGGGAAAAACGGGGAGAGCATGTAGGCATGGAAGTGAGCAGTGCGACGATCATTCGGGAAGGCACCCAAGGGCAGGCACAGCAATGCACCCAGCAGGCGACTTTTGAGTCAAACGGCCAAGTCACCTGTGCAGCGTGCAGTGCCCCCACCAGGCAGGGTTGGCAGAAAAGGGCCGACCAGCGATACAAGCAGCGAGACAGATGGCCGACCGGTCAAGAGACCCCAGACGATTGAGCGGCCCCAGTTGGCAAGCCAGCCGGCTGAGAGCGCTCCACACGCTAAGATGAGCAGCTACACACTCACCACCCAGCCTTGGAAGGGGAGGGGCGGGAGGGAAAAGAGGAGGTGACAAGCGAAGGTGAGTAAGACTATGCGGGCTGAGAGGTTCCTTTGCATGTGAGCACTTCACATGCTGCCGCGAGCAGCGATGCACTCACCACCCAGCCTTGGAAACATGAGGCTAGCACTGGGGAAACATGGGGCTATCACGGGGGGAGTTTGGGGGGCTATCACGCGGGAGAAATGGGTCTGGCATGGGGGAAACAGGGGTCCTGCAGGGGGGAAACGTGGGGCCTGCAGAGGGGAAACATGGGGCATGCAGGGGGGAAACATGGGGCCTGCAGGGGGGAAACATGGGGCCTGCAGGGGGGAAACATGGGGCCTGCTGGGGGGAATCATGGGGCCTGCTGGGGGGAAACATGGGGATAGGAGGAATACCAATGCGGATTGGGGAATGCGCAAGGGGGAAAGCGGAAGTGGGAATGCGGAAGGGGGAATGCGGAAGGGGAAATGCGGAAGGGGGAATGCGGAAGGGGAAATGCGGAAGGGGGAATGCGGAAGGGGGAATGCGGAAGGGGGAATGCGGAAGGGGGAATGCGGAAGGGGGAATACGGAAGGGGGAATGCGGAAGGGGGAATGCGGACGGGGGGATGGGGAAAGGGGGATGTGGAAGGGGGAATGCGGAAGTGGGAACGCGGAAGGGGGCATGTGGGGTGGGGAATGCGGAAGGGCGAATTCGGAAGGGGCCATGCTGCTGTGGGCGGATGTGGGCGGCGGAAAGCTCTAGCGCCGTCTCTTACTTGCGTTTCTGGCGGCTGCGGTAGGCTGGCTTGCGGGGCGGGCGGTTCTGGATGGCGCATCGCTGGCGCGCGGGCCTCTGGCGGACCGCGTGCTGTTTGCTGGCGCGCGAGCGTCACCCGCGCGCGCAATGCAAACGCGCCCCGCTTTGCGACGCGCTGTTTGAATCCCGTTCGATGTGCTGCGGGGCGCATAATAATGACGTCAGCTGTGCTGGAGCACGCGGAATGCCAACATGTGATCCGCGTGTAGTGAGTCGACTCAAAAATCGACTCAAAAATCGACTCAAAAATCGACTCAAAAATCGACTCAAAAATCGACTCAAAAATCGACTCAAAAATCGACTCAAAAATCGACTCAAAAATCGACTCAAAAATCGACTCAAAATCGACTCAAAAATCGACTCAAAAATCGACTCAAAAATCGACTCAAAAATCGACTCAAAAATCGACTCAAAAATCGACTCAAAAATCGACTCAAAAATCGACTCAAAAATCGACTCAAAAATCGACTCAAAAATCGACTCAAAAATCGACTCAAAAATCGACTCAAAAATCGACTCAAAAATCGACTCAAAAATCGACTCAAAAATCGACTCAAAAATCGACTCAAAAATCGACTCAAAAATCGACTCAAAAATCGACTCAAAAATCGACTCAAAAATCGACTCAAAAATCGACTCAAAAATCGACTCAAAAATCGACTCAAAAATCGACTCAAAAATCGACTCAAAAATCGACTCAAAAATCGACTCAAAAATCGACTCAAAAATCGACTCAAAAATCGACTAAAAAATCGACTCAAAAATCGACTCAAAAATCGACTCAAAAATCGACTCAAAAATCGACTCAAAAATCGACTCACTACATGCTGGAGCACGCGGAATGCCAGCATGTGCGGAGCGGCACCCTTGCGAAACGTGGGCAAAGTTGGCGCATTTGACGAGAATGGAATGACGGGATAGCTGGCGCAAGTGACTCGAGCAGAATGCCTTTCCTAGCGGGCGCTGCATCCGCTTGCGAATTGCTTGCATAGCTGGCGCAATTCATGCCAATTATAGTTAGTGGTGCGGCGGCCTTCACTGTAGAGAACATGGCTAATCACTCACCCTAGCCTAAGGTCGTGTTTGCGCTGGTGGTCTAACAATCTCGAGCACCCGCCATGGCTACTCCCACCCGTTTTACTTACTGTTAGATGCTTATTCTATGTAGTGTGTTTGGTGGAAGGTGATGTCGGGAGAGTTTTACACTGTGTGAACTCTCAACCTTCGAAACCCTGGCTCTCTCACAACTGAAGCGCGTCAGTTTTTCGCCAACACTCGCAATTCTGTTTTTCTCTTCGTTGAGGCGAAATTGCCTTGACTACTGTACATCAGCAACAGTGCTGCCAAATGTATACCGCTGCTTTAAAACCAGGGTGCACATTCAACGCGGTTCGGCTTGAGATGTTGGGAAGGGGGTTTGGAGAAAAACAGTGATTGGCTCACGAGGGGCGACAAAAAAATGATTCCGCTAGAGCTTCGGGCATTTCGTAGGTGGCGGGAGGGGGTGAAATGGCGGGAGTGGGTGAAACCGAATGGCGGGAGGGATGAAACAGATTGGCGGGAGGGGGGGGAAACGAAATTGCGGGGGAGGGGGGAAACAAAATTGCGGGGGAGGGGGGAAACGAATTTCGACGGGGAGGGGGAAATGAAATTGCGGGGGCGTGGGGAAACGAAATTGCGGGGGAGGGGGGAAACGAATTTCGACTTGAAGGGGTTGAAAGCACACCTCGTAACCCACTCAGTCAAGGGATAACCTTTGATGCACATTCAGCTGAATGTGCACCCTGGTTTTAAGCGCCACGGTGCCGTCACCTGTCATGTTGAAATGAAACCAACCGACAGTGCATGTCTGCTTGTGCTTGTTCGTCGGTCCAAATTCTGGTGGTTTTGGCGAAGGACGATACCACCCTTTCTGACGGCCCGCGCCTGGTAACGAGATACCACCTTGTGTAAGAGAGGACGATGTTACATAATTTATCACGCATTAAACCGTATGAAAACAAGTGACCTTCAGGAATTATTGCGATTACAGCACCTGACTCCACACTTGAATATTTCTACATGTAAAATTTGTACAAGGAACAAAACGGATATTAATTCAATACATGTCCATGTCTCACTGCCAGATCTCATCCTACGTCACTTATACTGAAAACTGGAGTGAATGTGGTACCCTTCCACGAGTTTTTTTCCCCTCAGGAAGGGTGGCTTCTAGCAGGGTGCGAGGAGACGGTGGGCGCGAGGACGAGCGTGAGCAGCAGGAGCATCACAACCACAGGAACCAGCATTAGCTCCGCAGGTGGCGGGCCCACGTCTGACAAGCAAGCTGGAAGCAGGACCAATACCACAGTCACCACAGCCATAATGGCCAACACGGACTTGGCTGATGCCTGATGGGGCGTTTTAGCCAAGCTTGTACCTGCTGAACCACTGTTATAGCCTCCCGCGTGCCCTACATGATCCTCTTCATACTCTGCCGCAGCGTTCAACAAGGCCATAACCCGAGCAGCCTCTCCACTGTTTTCCGGAATCTGTGCAGTAAGATATCCTCCTCCTTGTCCAATGTCGGCCTCCCTCCCCGCAGCGGCGCAGGCTGCTTCCCTTCCGTACCTGTCCCCGTCCCTCCACCAACTTTCCGTGTCGTTCGTCGCGTGGCCGCGCTCAGCCGTCCGATACTCGTCCCGGATGATGCCGTTGAATTCCGTTCCGCACGTCCCCGCGCCTTGCATTCCCCCTCCCGCGCCAAATTGAAGGTCGGAAGCCGACCCCGTCTCTGCACTGGCTTTGCTGTACCGAGCGCGGCTTCCGGCGGCGGCGGGGGCGGCTCTGTACCCGCTAGCGACGGTGTATTCCGAAGCGCGAAACGCAGCGGGGTTATCGTGGCTCCAGCTCTGCCTACCTAACGTGCTCGCGTGTGCGCTGCCGCCGCGCGGAGCGACCTGGCTGTAGTTTCCGCCTCCGGCGGCAATAGCGCCGCTCTTGGCGCCGGGATGGCTGTAACGCTCGTAGCCGTACTCAATCTCAGCTGCATATACAGCTCCGTCACCGCCGCCAGCGCGGTTCGACCGCGGATCCCGCCGTTCCGCCGCAAGAGACGGAGGAAACCCCCCCTGCTGCTGACGATGCAAATCACGGTGCTGCTGAGTCAAGAAAATGCTACTGCGTGGGCTTCCGTGGCCGCTTCCGCTTCCACGATGACTTCCCCCATCGCCGCTTTCGATGCTACTACTTGATCGTTCCGCGTAGCATTGCGAGCTGAAAATGAGGCGGTCGGCGGAATCTTCCGCATGAACGCTTCCGCCGCCGCTATGGCGGTCGAGGGACGTGGCGGACGGGCTGTCTGGGGAGCGGCTAGTTAATTCTTCGGCTCGGTCGCGAGGAGTATATGGCGACATTGTTCGTGGCGCAAGGCAGACGTCGTTTTGATCTCGATGTCGATACATTGTGCTGGAATCTGAAATAAGTAGGAAAAGCTTGATTTTTTTGTTGCGGATGAATAAACTTGTGTGCGATCTAGTAGGAGTTGGGTCATTCAAATGTGTGTGACCAGGAGAAGAATTATTGAAAGAGCTCGCTGTTTGTGAAATCTACAGCGAGTCACATGACGTGTGCTGCGTGTTAGACAGCACAGTTCCATACGCGATTACAGCAATTCCTGAAGGACCAAGGAGCATCAGCAGAGGGAATGCTGCTGGTTGGACACGCAGAACCCCGTTCGTCTTGGATGAGGCGATGTAGCCACACCTCTCTCCGTCAGCCACACCTCCGCGGCAGTGCTGCTCCACATGGCCGTTGCCCACTCCGTACCTCCTGTCATCCCCGTGCCTCCTCACGAGCTTCGACCTGTCACAGCCGCGGAAATGCCATCCATGCGCTGGCGGGGAATGGTGAAGGTTGGGGATACTGTTGGCATGGCATGGGCGGTGATTTGGGTTTCTGGGCCCTGGCTTGCCCGAATGCTATGGTTCGGTTCGGTCGGTCAGCGTCAGGGGCTAGTACGTTTGGTTGGTGTGGCTAAAGATTGCTGCCGTGTGCACCCCGCCATCATATTTTTGACAGCCTCCCGACCTACAACCAGAAACTCCATTCGTTGTGGACGCCAGCGCACCTCGTCAATCGTCGGGAGCACATGACGGTCAGACGTCACGTTCCACAGAAGTTCATTTCCGCGAATGTCATCAACAGGCACGAGTACACCCTCTTTCTCGATAGACTGGCATACGTTAGACTGACCGGGACGCGTAGTGTAACCGCAACGGACCAAAGAAGGTCCTATCACATTCGTTATAGTGACAATTCGACCAAAGGCGGTCAGTCAGGGTTTCAAACGTTATAAAATGGTACTGTCATTTTCAAAACGGTTGGAACGGCTATTCAGCTTTCACGGTTTTTTACTGCCTAAGGCTTGTTTCGTCACCTCGTGCGACTTTGCCCGCAACCGAGTTATCACACCAGCCCACTACGTCCAAACACTGTAGCCAGTGCTTCCGCTGGTGAGAAAGGTGAGAACGAGGGTGTACATTGCCAAGTCCAGCGCTCTTGCCACAATATTAAACAACGGAAAAGTAGCATGACTTTCTGTACCTGAAAATACTGTATTATACAAATAATATGGATTTGTACGTGCACTCATAATGCCCCGCAGTGTCAACAGTAACGCTGCTTGGAAGAATGACCTCAGCATTTGGGTGTACATACGAGAGGGACAGAGAATGCTGGATGCCAGATGCCTTGCTTCGGCTTCTAGTGCAAATCCACCGCAGTTGTCCAGCACGGAGATACGGATCGTGCCACGTTATTTGCGGTGAAGCCGCGGCCAATTGTCGCTGCATGGATTTCTACAGTTAGCCCCCCGGATATACGGGGGAGCGTCGTTGAAAGTACCATTAGTCAGGATTAAGTGGATTTTCGCAGTTAAGTGGGAACATTTCCTGAACTTTTGCACAGTAATGCGTGCAAATTATCCAACAGAAGGCAATGGGTTTGTGTATTTTCCCCTTACGCAAAAGATTACAAGTCAGATCCCCGAAGTTTAGAATTTATTTGCATGAAGCAGTCGGCCTGGTTTGATTTGATCCTAGTTGTAGTCTCTGTTTTTACTGTACAAGAGTGTCTCAAAGAAAGTGTGCCCAGCATTTTCAAGGTTCCCGAAAACTGTTGTTGTTAGAAAATGAGATGCGATATCTCCCAGTGTTTGTATAGAATGAGGTGTCGAAATTTCCATACGGTAGAGTAGCTGTGAACGGAAAGGGATTGGAAAAGGGATTTTCCTGCCAAGAAGTTCATCCATTTGATTCGATCTTGCGATTGGAAAGGCAACGGCAGGTGATATACACTCGATATCATTTTCAGTAGCATATATTTTCCTGGTGAATGGCATATGCGAGGGACACTAACATAATCGACATAGTTTTTTTTGGAACTGGAACCAGTAAACAGGTCATTTATTATACTTTCATTATACTTGAATTATGTGTTTTTTCTTTTTTTATTGTCGTTCTATAAATAAAGGCAAAAACTCAACCTGATGACATACCATCGCAGAAGACGTGAACTCTATACGCTCGAGACGTTGCGAATGTTGCTCCAGTTCTCCATGGATTTTATTTTTGCCCTTGACCGTGGTGATGGCTTTTAATCGGACTGGGGAACAAGATGTTGGGTTAGGGTGGGGCAGAGCGAATGCACAGCTGGGATTATCTTGGTGTATCTAGATATTCATGGATAATCAAATATGGTCCAAGTAGGACCAAGATCCAACCTAACTGCGCCTTTTTTTTTACAAGCTGATATAAACATCGTTTTCCCTGCAAGCGCCAAGTAATGATGTGTTACTGATAGTGTTCTGCACATCGGCTTGGCTTGTAACTTATTTACGTGAGCTAGTGAATACACCCTGGAGATCACGATCATCAAGTGCGTACGCCAAGGCTGGCTTGCTAGCTTGGGTTGCACGAACCTCTCGCTTGTGGTGGACTTGTGGTATGGGGAAGACAGTTTGAAAGCAGGCAGTGGTCCCCTTCCGCCAGCTGTCTTCATTTCGCCTCCGTTCTGCGCACATCATCCTCCCCCGCAGCTGCATTGCTTGGACCTTGCGCGCATGTCCTCCTCCCGACTGATGCGATTTTTGCTCTATCCACACTGCCAAAGTTGCTTGAAACAAACACCTCCCCGCGGCTCTCTGATCTTGCCGCGGCAGGGCCGCGGGTCATGTCATGGGGTTGACGAGGAGCCGGTTTTCAAACTTGGACGAGGCTGGACCCTTGAACCGTATCGAACCGTCTTGATAATTATGTAAATCACTTTGCATCCCAGCATATTCTCCGAGCCTGAGGTTCGGCAGTCTCCCCATGCTCGAGGGCCACGAGCACCTGGCTTTTCTGAGACGAAAAGTGCTCATGGTGGTTTCTTCCTGACCACGCAAAACGCTGCACCCTTGTGCAGCTTTCTCGAGAATCTTATATGGATGGATTCTCTGCTCAGACAGACTTCGCCTCCCACCCCACCACCCGGACAACAGCCGCTACTTAAACGCTGCACCGTTTGTTGTTGCTCTGAACCTTAGCATATCGCTCTAAACGCCAATTTGACCGTTGGGGAACGCAACGATCTTACAAACAAGTTTTCTTTTGCTTGTATTCTGGGCATTAGTTTCTAGTCTCAGCCGTAGTTTCTAGTCCATAGCTTCTTGTCGTGCTCCTGTCTTCATCAACATTACCCGTCGTCGCCTCTTTTTGTCACGACTTCGAAGTCTAAACGATTTGTTCAATTTTCTTCCGGCTTGTTTGCTTCGGAAGAGCGATCAACGCTTTTGTATGGACTCCAGTGGAGACCAGAGCTGGAAGAGGTCAGTGTTCGACCTCTTGCGCTTTACTTCACACCCCTCCTTGCTTCTTCCTGCCGCTGTCGATCTGCACGCATCGCCTAACCCGTCTACGTTCACGTCCCCATCCGACGTCTCTTCCGTGCATGTGTTGGGTCCTTCGTGGCGTCTTCATAACACGACCGCGACTTCCAATTCTCGAATCGTCCCCTACTCCGACCATCTCCACTCCAGCGCCGGCAATAACCCGATCCAGCGAAGGTCATCCGGGAGCTCGTCGTCTCCTTCTTCATACCCTTTAAGAAGACCGTCACGACAAAATTCCTACCGTGACGAGCGTCGGCGATCTGGCGATCAACCGTTCCCAACAGATAATCGCTACTCCTCCTCCTCTTCCTCCTCATTATCCGGCGGCCAAAATCGTGGACAGCCGCAGCAGCGTCGTCGTCCCGGCATGTCATTTCAAAGCAATTCATTTCGGTCACACGGGGGAGACCCTGTCGAGGCTCATCTCGCGCACGCCGTTTCGGAGCTTGCTGCGACGAGATCTCCACCGGCCGAAGAGCTTCTGGGGTTTTCGGAGCAAGATATTCAAGATGCTAATCAATCTGATGGTCAAACAAGGACGCGAAGCGCACTAGTCGGAGGGACGACCCCCCCAGCTGCTCGCATGATGTCTCGTCGTGCGATCCTGGTGGTGACGGTCTTCCTGTTTCTACTTATAGTGCTGCCAGCACTTCTCCCGAGCATTTCTCCTCCGCCTTCGGCGCTGCTGGTTATTCCCGTGATGCTCATGTTCATGCTGGTATATCTAGCTCTGGCTCCTCACCATCTTCCGGGGAGGAACCACGTTTACACATAGTACTCGCTATCTTGGCTCTTTTAGCTTAGTGCTCTCTCGGAGCTTCTGTTGCTAAATAAGCTTTTCCTTTCAGGCAATCTTTGAAGAAGTTTCAAGATAATCGAAATTTATGCAGAAGATTAATTCACCTTTGAGCTAAATGGCTGGTTTGGCGGATACCAGTACATGATTGTAGAGCCAAACACAACCCAGTATGTAAGGCCAAACACAAGTATACCAAGATTTCTCGCCATCCATCTGGATCTCAATACATTTTTTATGCAGAATTCAAATACTACCACTTGAGACAAGGCCTTCGCATTCCTGAACTGCAACACATGCAATGCAAGTACTCACATTAACATTGCCTACAATGGTGTAAGGCTATGGTGTGGTACATCATACTCTCATAGCAGCACCGTATTCAAGTCAAGCACCCAACCTCAATTTTCTCCACCTAGACCCCAAATTCGCTGCTCCCATACCTGTTTCTCCCAACAGGAAAGTCCACCTTCCACCATAAGCTATCTGACCTGAGCAGGAACCATCACAAGGTGCTCGCTCTCCTCCAATCCATGACGCAGAAATAAGATTACATGCTGACACTGTATGCCTCAGGCAGCTGGGAAGAGAGAGCTGTCCAACTGTGTCTGCTGCATGCCAGCACTCCCACTGCCTCCCCCACCAGAGGAACGGAAATCTCGAGGGAGGGCTGAGAGCAGGCGACGAGTGGCCTCCGCCCTGGAAGGGAAGGAGAGGGGGTACGAGGAAATGACAGGAGAGAGACGGGTGAGTGCAATGACGGAGAACTGGAGGCACGTGGAGGCGGAGGGGAGGTGGATGGTATGGAAGAAGCTGAACAGGCCTGAGATAACCGGACATGCGGGAGAGTATTGAAGTGCGGCTTTTGGGAATTCTCCAATCCAATTCCTCTAAGACCGTACCTGCAAGCAAGCGAGATGTCGTCTCGATCCACCAACCCCAGCACCCGAAGACGCACTACAGGTGCCATGTCATCATCGTTGTTGCGGACGTCATCGCCATCCGAACCACTCTCCCCATCTATGTCACCCTCCTCTCTCTCACTCCCACTGCTCCCCCCTCCACTTCCCCTCACACTCCTCCATCCATTCTCCCTTTCACTTCCTCTTTGGTATTCCGTCTCACTCTCACTCTCACTCCCACTACCACGGTCACTCTCACTCCCGCTCCCACCACTGCTGCTGCTGTAACCACCACTCTCTCTCTCACTGTCACTCCCACTGCTGCTGCCACTCCCAGAAGCATCACTCCCCACCCTCTCCCTCCTCACCACCATCTCCTTTCGCAACACCACAGGAAGCTGACGAAGCCCGCGAGCCGTCATGCGGTCGCGTGCCGCCCGCAGAGTGGTATCCGGAAAAGTCACCTCGATGGCCTCGGATGGCCGGCTCCGGGCGGCAATGCCAGACGAGGAAGAGGACGAGGGGTTGCCATTGGCATCTTGATTTGATTCTGAAGGCAAGAGGAGGAAAGCGTCTGAGTCAGGATGCTGGTGACAGATGGCGATAACAGGAAGAGACTCCACGTCAGCAGCAGCACCCCCAGCAGTAAGCTGCCTCTCCGCCTCCTCCTGTACATCCACCAGCGTCAGCAGTCCATGCAGATAACCCCCGTCCTGCAGCACCAAGCAGCACCACTGCCTGTGCGCCACCATAGATGCCACAGCGTCCCGCACCATGGCTCGTACTCCCACTGCTGCAAAGGAGGTATTCATTGCCACTGCCACTGGCAACTCCTCTAAAAGCTGCTCCTCTAAGAACACTCCGTCGCGCACGTCCAGTGACACGCCGTCGTCGCGCGAGACGACAACAAGGGGAGGCGGCGGGGGGAGGGGTGCGAACGACGGAGACGAGGGTGGAGCAGGAGGAGGAGAGCTGGGCTGGGAAGGCGTCATGAAGCCTGGCTGGGGGTTGGTGGGGGAAGGGATTCGAAGAGGAGGGAGGTCTGCGGTTGGGAGGTCGATAGAAGGAGAGGAGAAACCAGCAGATGGGGTCTCTTGTGAGAGCCCGTAGTTGCTTCCCTCTGGGCCCTCAGATCTAGAGTCTGTTTGTACTTCAGCTGCTGCCATTGCTGCTGCTTCTTGCGTTTGAATAGAGCTAGCACCCACTTCAGTGGATCCTGCTTCTGATGAACTATCACCTGCTGCTTTAGCAGGTGCGATTCCCATCACACCGCTCACTGCTGCTGCGGCTACTGCTGCTGCTGCTGCAGCTGCTGTTGCTGATGCTTCTGCTGACCCCGAAGCTGCATCCACGACCACTGAAACTGCTGCCGCTGCTGCCACCGCTGCTGCCGCTGCCACTCCTGCTGCGGCCGCATCAGCCTGAGCTTCCTCGGCTTCTGTACCTTGACCACTAACAGACAGGGGAGAGGAGGTTGCAGGAGGAGGAAGGGGAGGAGAGGGTAGGGGGTCGGGTACCAAACCGCTTGCTCTCTCGAGTACTATCACAGTCGCATTTGACTCTGCCATGGCTGCTGCTGAACCACCTGAAAAACCACCTGACGAAACCCCTCCTCCCGACCCACCTGCCACGTCTAGTATGACAGCTGGCATGAGCGGATTGGCAGGAGGAGCAGCAGCAGCAGTTGGAGGAAGGGCAGGATTACCATCGGTTGTTGAAAGACCAGCATTATCAGCTTCGGCTGCTTCCGCTGCTGCTTCCACCGCAGCTTCGGCAGCCGTGGCTGCAGCTTCGGCGGCCACGCCTGCAGCTTCGGCAGCCACTTCCGCAGCTAGATCTAGCTCCGGCATGTATGCCGAAGCCTCGGGATTATCATACGCCTTCTCCTGGGCACTAGAGGCGGCTGCTGCTGCCGCTGCTGCTGCAGTTGCCGCTGCTGCCGCTGCTGTTGCGGCCGCTGCTGCTGCACTTGCAACCTTGGGTCCAGAGGAAGGGGTTCTGGAGAGGGTAGCACGTTTAGGAGAGGAAGGAGGGGAGGAGGAAGGCGAGGCGAAAGGGGAGGAGCGTGCAGAGGAGATGGGTGATTCGTAGGAAGAAGAGTGGGATGCAGCATAGGCGCCAGGACCAGAAACAGGTGGACCATAGGCAGCAGAAGCAGGAGCCGTGTACCCTGGGGGAGAGGAAAACGATGCCGCTGCTGCTGCTGCTGCTGCTGCAGCAGCAGCAGCAGAAGCAGCAGTAGCAGGTGGAGTCTTGCTATAATCTTCAGCCCCCTTCCCTCCACCACCCTCACCAGCACCACCACCATCCCATTCTCTCCCTCCTACCTCCTCCCCTCTAGCCTCCCTTCTCATCCCCTCCCCTCCTCCCCCTCCACCCACCCAAGACCCTGACCCAGAATAAATATCCCCCGTAAAGAGCGCCCCAGGATAAGGGCCAGGGAACTGAGACGGCGCGTATGAAGGAAGGGGAGCAGCAGGGGCCTGAGAAGCCATGTAGGGAGGACGAGTAACAGCAGCAGCAGCAGCAGCATCAGGAGCGGCTTCAGCAGCAGGAGCGCCAGGAGAATAGGAGCCTGCCCCAGAGTAGAGCAGCGGCGAGGGGGGCACGGGCGATGGGGGAAGAACCGGCATGAGCGATGGGGAGAGAGGACTGGGATAATACGAAGTCGGATATGGGTAGGAGGATGCGGAAGGAGAGGAGGAAGAGGAGTAAGGAGGGGAGGAAGGGAATGAAGAGGAGGAGGAGGAGGGGGGGTTGGAGGGAGCAAAGACGGTAACGCCGCCCGGTTGCGGCCGGCGGGGCTTTCTGGCGGCAGTGGAGGCGAGCCAGGAGGAGATGCCGACTGCTGCCATGAGCGGCAGGATGATGCGGTAGTCACGTGTGAGCTCGAATAGGAGGAGGACGGAGGTCAGGGGAACTTGGCACACTCCTGCTAGAGTGGCTGCCATTCCCACCTGATTGGGGTGGGGGTGAAGTTGAGGGGAGAGAGACAGGAAAACGAGGTTGGGAGGGTTGGATGGAGGAGAGAGGGATAGCGAGCAAGGAGGGACAGCCATGCAAACAGTTAGGCTTACTATGGCATAGGCCTGGGGGTGGGGGACGAGGACGAGGACGAGGAGAGAGTGAGGAGAGCGAGCGAGCGAGCTTGGAGATAGTGAGCACCAAAAGAGGGCAAGACTTACAATGGCACAGGGCTGGGGGGCAGCCACTTGGATCCACGTGAGGGTCAAATCCGGATCAATAAACGCCAGCACGTCACTGGCCAGTCGCCTCAGAAGAATGAAGAGAGAGAGAGAGAGTAGAGACAGAGAGAGAGAGTAGAGAGAGAGAGAGCGGGCATGGAAAGAGGGCAAGACTTACCATACTCTGAGGTACCTCAAAATAGAGGAGGGACAGGTATGAGAAACAGCTAGGTACGCCGAGCCTTACCATAGCATAGGCCTGAGGGGCGGCCACTTGGATCCACGTGCGGGTTAACTCCGGGTCAATAAACGCCAGCAGCCGCACTCTGAGAGGTACCTCAAAATAGAGGAAGGACAGGTATGAGAAACAGCTAGGTACGCCGAGCCTTACCATAGCATAGGCCTGAGGGGCGGCCACTTGGCTCCATGCGAAGGTTAAGTCCGGGTCAATGAATGCCAGCACAGTGCACTCTGAGGTACCTCAAAATAGAGGAGGGACAGGTATGAGAAATAGCTAGGTACGCCGAGCTTTACCATAGCATAGGCCTGAGGGGCGGCCACTTGGCTCCAGGTGAAGGTTAAGTCCGGGTCAATGAATGCCAGCACAGTGCACTCTGAGGTACCTCAAAATAGAGGAGGGACAGGTATGAGAAATAGCTAGGTACGCCGAGCCTTGCCATAGCATAGGCCTGAGGGGCGGCCACTTGGCTCCACGTGAAGGTTAAGTCCGGGTCAATGAATGCCAGCACAGTGCACTCTGAGGTACCTCAAAATAGAGGAGGGACAGGTATGAGAAACAGCTAGGTACGCCGAGCCTTACCATAGCATAGGCCTGAGGGGCGGCCACTTGGGTCCACGTGAAGGTTAAGTCCGGGTCAATGAATGCCAGCACAGAGCACTCTGAGGTACCTCAAAATAGAGGAGGGACAGGTATGAGAAACAGCTAGGTACGCCGAGCCTTACCACAGCATAGGCCTGAGGGGCGGCCACTTGGATCCACGTGAAGGTTAAGTCCGGGTCAATGAACGCCAGCACGTCACATTGTGAGGCATATTAAGGGAGGAGAGATAGCCATGTTGAGACCTTTACTCACCATGGCATAGGCCTGGGGTGCGGCCACTTGGATCCACGTCAGCGTCAGGTCAGGGTCAATGAACGCCAGCACGTCACTGGCCAGCCGCCCGTACGCCGCCCCGAGCGCCGCCCCGATGAAGAGCGAGGGCGCATAGAAGCCACCCACGAGGCGAGATCCGCGACAGAAGGCCGTGGCGAGTACCTTGACTACCACCAGTTGCAGCAGGAACCCCGGCTGGTAGTGGGGAAGAGAAGAGAAGAGAAGAGAGGAAGTGAGGGAGATGAGCACCAGAAGGTTGTGGCGAGTACCTTGAATACCACTAGCCGGAGGAGGAACTCCGGCTGGTGATGCACCAGCGAGATCACCCCGATCCCCAGCCTTCAAAGGAAATTAAAGCTTGCAGCAACACAGCACGTACCGCAGGGGAAGCCACGAGTGGGTGTGACGTGATGAGATCATTCACGTTCTGGAAGCCCCAATAGAGCACCTTGGGATACACCAGCACTCAAAGCATGCAGCATGACAGCAAGCAACACAGCACGTACCGCAGGGGAAGCCACGAGTGGGTGTGACGTGATGAGATCATTCACGTTTTGGAACCCCCAGTAGAGCACCTCGGGATACACCAGCGAGATCACCCCAATGCCCAGCCCTCCGATCGCCGGCAGCAGCACAGGCGGCACGTTCGTATTCGCCTCCAACCCATCAAACATCGACGAGAAGAACGCCGCCGAGCGCGTGAGCGAGATTGACACCCCGCCACAGCACAACCCAAGCAGCAGATACAGCGGCAGCTCCGCCGGCGATCGTAGCTCGTATAACGGCACATGGATTGATGGGTCTGCACCCAAACCAGCCTGGGACACCACCGCGGCAAGCACAGAAGACAGGAGGATCATAGCCGTGGTGAGGCTTGCAGGGGAGCCTTGCGTGGACGACCGAAGGACGGATTCCAGAGCAAAGAAGCAACCCGCAACCGCGGCGTTGAATCCCGATGCAATACCCGCGGCGGATCCCGCTGCTACGAGTGCGATCGTGCGCTCGCGGCTTCCCCGGACGATGCTCCCTGTGGCCTTGCCGATGCTGGACCCGATTTCCACACTCGGGCCTTCCGGACCGAGGCTGTTTCCTGTGCCGAGCGTGACCGCTGCCGCCAGGGCTTTCAGGACCGGCCGAGCCACGGCCCGAGCCTTCCGGTTAAGCTCGGAGACGTCGTCCGGGGTGAGAAACGGCAGGGAGAAGGCTCGTTGCTTGGGTGACATTTTTTGCTGCCCTGCTCCCTCCTCCTCTTGCTGCTGTCGCTGGCGCTGCTGCTGCTGCGTGCGGGTGGGAGCGGTATCCTTGAGTCCCGATCTGAGCGAGTTGAGGATGCCAACGGCAATGCCGCCCGCCAGAGGCACGAGGAAGAGGTGCCACACGTCGCCCACCGGTTGGTCCCTCAGCCATGCGGAGCCCTCCTCGTGAGGCACGTTCTGGAACAAAGTGTCTCTGATAATGTGCACCTGGAAGGTGGCGGGGGTGGTGGAGAGCGGTTGGGAGCGATGAGAGTGGTGGAGTGACGTGGGCGATTGAATCTGGAAAATAAAAATCAAGCCCGTCACACGGAGCCCTCCTCATGAGGCACTATAAGGAAAGGCCATACTTTTCCAGAACTCACCGTATCGTTAAATAGCACCACGGACGAGCCTGTCAACACGCCCACGAGGCACGAGACGACGAGAATGAGCGACTCGGGCGGCAGAGACAGCGCCATGTTGTCCTTCACCGCTCTCAACGCCTTCACACTCCACTGCGCCACCTGCCTGCGCACGTGAGCCTGGGAGGGGGGAATCCAGGGTCCTGACACCGCCTTGCTCTTCTCTTGCCCTTGCCCCTTGCTCTTCTCATGCCCATGCCCATGCTCATGCCCGTGCTTGTGATTGTGGTGATGGTGGTGGTGATGGTGATGCTGTTTTTGCTCCTGGCCGCGGCTGCTGACGTGTCGCTGCTGCTCTTGATTCTGTGGTGCTGGCACTGCCACGTCACCACTCTGCTGCTGCTGCTGCCGTTGTTGCTGCTGCAGCCGTGATTGCAATTCCGATTGTTGCCACTGCGCCTCCTGCTGCTGTTGTTGCTGCTGCTGCTGTTGTTGTTGTTGCTGCTGCCATAACTGCTCCTGCTGCTGCTGCTGCCACCCCCAAAGCTGCTCTCGCTGACGTTGAAAATCATTCTCCTGATCGTTCGTTTGCTGCTGCTGCCGCCATTGTTGTTCGTGTTGCTGCTGCTCCTGTTGCTGTTGCTGCTGCTGTTGCTGCTGCTGCCATTGCAGCTGCCCCGGTTGCAGCGGCTGCTGCTGCTGTTGTGAATCTGGGTGGCCGTACGGATACCAGTTTTGCGGCTGCTGCTGCTGTTGATACTGTAACGATTGATGAAACGCGTGTTGGTGTAACTCCTGGTACTGTCCATAGCTGCTCAACCCATCCCCACCGCCCATACCACCGCCAACACCGCCGCCCATCCCGCCGCCCATTCCGCCGCCATTGCCGCTGCTATCATACACACTCCCAGACCCAGATCCGATCCCGTACCCCGCGCTTCCCCCCAGCTCCCCCCGCTCCGCGTCCGCGCGCTTCCCCTGCGCCTCCCCGCCGATGTCCCCCCGCCACCGCTGCCCCTCCCGCCGGTGCCTCTGCACCGCCTCTTCCTCCTCCCAATCGTCCTCAATATCGGGCAGGAAATAAAAATATTCCTCCTCGTCGTCAGCCGGTTGCCGGCGCGACCGCCGGCTAGCCGCCGGGAGTCCTGAGCGCAGGGCGCGCGCTTCCACTTTGCCGGCGCCGGTTGTTCCGCCGGCCGTCTTGCCGGACGACGTCCGCGGACGGGTAGAAAGCGGGGATGCGAGCGCGGGGGAGGGGGGGAGAGAGGAGGGGGAGGAGAGGGAGTGGGGAGAGGGGCAGGAAGAAGCGGAGGAGAGAGACGACGATCTGGGGAGGAAGGAGGGGGAGCGGGAGAGAAACGGGGAGGAGGGCGGGGAAGAGGCGGAAGGATGTCGCGGGGAGGCGGGGAGTAGGGGGGGCAAGCGGGAAGAATACCCCTGCTTGCGGTTGGCGGAAGAAGCGGACGAGCAGGAGGAGGAGGCGCGGCGGAAAGGGGGAGGTCCGGGAGAGTGCGGGGAACCGGCAGAGCGGGCGGAGGGGGAACGGGCGGAGCGCAGAGGCGCTACGACGTTTTTATAGAAATAGGACGATATGTACAGGGGCGGGGCGGAGAGACACGGGCGCAGTTTCTTGCGCCCGCTGCCACGTGGATCGCCCTGATTAGCCGCCGCCGTCGCTGACGTGGTCCGCGGCGGGATGGGAAGCGCAGAAGAAGCATGGCTTGCGTGGCAGCATCGCAACGACGGGAGAGGCGACGAGGCCTGCAGGATCCACGCGAAAAAGCGGTGAGAGTGGGAAGAGAACGAGGGGAGGATGGAAAGGAGGAAAGGGGTGAGAGCGGGGAAGAGGGGGAAGGGGGAAAGGGGGAGGGGGAGGGGGAAATGAGGGGAGAGCGGGACAGGGTTACGGCACAGATTCCGCGACGAAACGGGGAACGGGACGGGAAAAGTTTTTTTGGCATTCTAACACATCTCTCGCACGAAATTGGGAATGGGATTGGGTAAGAGATAGAAGCGCGGCTCAACGATAGCACGAGCGGGATGGGAAGGAAGCATGACTGCAGTGTCGACAGGGTAAGCCGACCAAGCGGGATGAGTGAGACGACATGAACAGAAGGCGGTACGACGAGGCGGGTAGGAAGACACGCTCCAGACGATTGCCTCGCTACGACTTGGAGCAATTAAGTTCGTATGGCCGCGGCGGGGCTTAGATCTCAGTCGCTAAACACGTCTGCCGTGCATGCCGCGTCTCCTAACGAGGGAGTACTCTTAAAGTACTCGCTGATAATAAAGGCTTAAACTAAAAAGCACTGAAGTGGCGTATCGCGACCCCCACCGGATACGCGTCGAAACAGTTCTAAAATATAAGAAAAAAGCTATTAAGGGGCACCTGATAAGCGCCTGGAGAGAGCAGCTGCGGTCGCGCGGCCTCCCTCTGCGCGCCGTAGTAGTGTCCCAGCTTCGGCCCCACGGGGCTTAGCTTTCCCATGGATCGTATCGTACGGTCCAGGAACTTCTATCAAACTTGCAGGTTCTAGATGCTCCGCGTTTCGTAAAACAACTATTTCCTAGATGTCCTGATCTCTAATTGCCTCTCGGATCAGAAAGATAAAGCCGACGTTCAGTAGTCGCTAGACGGGGAACGATAGTTATGCGGCGGCGCGCAGCCTCTGCGATACTATTGTCGCCCTAGAATGACTGAGCTAATTAGGAAGTTCAAAGCTTGATTGAACTGAAGGCATATGACGTGCCCAAGGGTCGTTAGATTCAATCAGAAAAGCACTCATTTCGACGAAGCGGCATCGCAACTGGGCGATTAGGCGGGAGCTGTCATGTGCCAGAGCCATTGTTCTGGCACTTGGATACATGGACATCCCTGCTATTGTTGTTCCTGGGTTGACATTTGACAATCACATACATCCCTTGTTTCCAGTTCACTCATGCAGAAGATCGCACCAATCAAGGCAGCACCAGCAGCCAACGAAGAAGTTGCTGCTCCTCGCAGTTACCCCCGTCGGTTCCTCCTCCCTGCCTTCGCTTGGCGAGTCGTCCCCCTTCCCCTCCTCCCCGGCCCCCGCCCCTTCCTGCCTGTTGTGCGCGGATTTCCCCTCCCTTTTCCCCTATTCGTTGTTCTCCGCGCGCAATAGTACTTGACTTCCAGCTGGTGCGCCAACCAGGACTTTCGCTGAGCTACCCCCAGCATTCGCAGAATCCTGTTCTTCCCGATTGGAAAATCGGTGGCGCGGGGATGAGAGAAAAAAGGGGAGGATTACTGTGCAACGGTTACGCTGGCGGAGGGGACTGTTGCTTGGATGAATCACTGTACTGTATTTATGGGGAGGATCAACGGGGCTGCGCTGCGGAGCGGACATGGAAATCATTGGCATCGGAAACATCCGACGGTTCAACGTGCTCGACTCGACCAGCCATGGTCGAGATTTGGCCCCAACGATTCGGGTGGGCGGGGGGATGTGTGATCGGAAGAGGGTGCGGAGAGATTGTGCGGGGAGGGGGAAAAGACGTATCGCACTGACGTGTTACGGGGGCAGTTTGGCGGGGAAATCTGTGGGTGCCAGGTTGGGGAAGCCGACGCGAAGTCAGAAGTTTTGCCGGATTGGCACACGTAATCAAGGTCCGACAGTTCGGGGCAGTCGCGTTCAAGAACGCGGGCAGAATATGCTCTTCGGCCAGCGTGACCAATGCGTGGGATGACGTGTTTTGGGTGATTCAGCAGCATGGTGATTCGCTCGTTCCCCCTAATGGGTGGTGCAGGCTTCGACGAGAAATGATTGGACAGGGTCGACTGAGGTTTCGAAGCGCTCCTGCTCTGGTTGGCTTGACGTGCTTTGCTACGATTCGGGATCAGACAAGGTATGACTGCGCGAAGGTTGGGATTGGGCATTGGCAGAGTCGAGATTGGGGAACAGCAGCGATTCAACCTGGCGACAGCAATCTGCTATTTCGTGAAGCTTCGTCAAAATCAGACAAGACACTGTACGCGCTTCAGAGGCAATCGAATAATATACACGCTCTTTCCTGCTCCATGGTTATACACCTTTACTCCCATTGATATTACTTTACGGCGAGTTATGTCGTGAAGAGTGCAGCACGAATTTGACAAGCGTGTTCCGCACGCTTTCCGAGAAGCGAGACACCGAACAGCGCTGACCGCTCGTATCCAGGAAACCTCCAGGTCATTTACAGAGTATGCTGTAGTCCCAAGTATAAACGCAGTTTATTGTTGTACGACTCGAACTGCGGAATTCGAAGTGCTCGATCGCCATGGCGCCACCTCATATACCCTTTTGGCGACAGAATATAAGGCACATATTTTCATTCCAACGCCTTTTCGTTGGTCGGCTGGATGCTGCCACGTGGCATTCTCCTGCTCGTCCACCTCTGCACAAACCTGGCCATGTCATGGAAGAAAGAAATCGCTGGATTCATGCAGCAGCACTTCACCTGTCGTCACAGCTTCCCGCATCGTCCACGTCAGCATCGCAGTCCAGCTCAGCACGCGGCGGCAGCAGAACCAGCAGGGCCCAATGGACTGCCGCGTTGGCAAACCTAGCAACAGCCTCCGCAGCAGCAGCGGCAGCAGAAGCATTAGCACGGAACCACAATTCGTCTCTTGTGACTCTCGCCCTTCAGAACCTTCAGATCTCGACCCTGCTACATCCGAGCCTGCAGCACCACGAGTTACAGATGCAGGGGCTGTAGCATCAGATTCAATCAAACCAAATCTGGGAGAATCTGGGGGAGATCCGGCGGCCGGGGGACCTGAAGCCCTAGAGCTGGCGGTGCGGGCGGCGAGGAGGGGGTTGCTGGTGAGACTGTATCGAATGAGACTGAAACGAGAGGCGGAGGAGGAGAAGAGGAGGACGGAGGAAGGTGGTGGAGGGGGTGGTGGCAGTGTGGGTGCAGAGACGTATATACTACCTACCCCAGTTGTCACCTGCAAGGGCCATCAGGTATGTACATGCATGTGTGCGTGGCTGCACGCATGAATGTGGGTGACAGTGAGGTTGTAAGCGGTGATCTGGCATCCCAATGAGGTTGTGAACGGTAATCCAGGGATGCGGGTCCCATGTATGCGCTGATTTCATCCCTTTCTGTGATGCCCCAATCCCATGCCTCACAGGTCTCAGTGCGCCTGCGCCTCCCTGCCTCCTCCGACCTCTCCGCACTGCTGACACACCTCATCGCCCACCTGGGCTGCCACCCGGCCATCACTCCCGCCCTCATGCTCCACTCCCTTACCTTTCTGTAATACCCCAATCCCATCCCTCACAGGTCTCAGTGCGCCTGCGTCTCCCTGCCTCCTGCGATCTCTCTGCTCTGCTCACGCACCTCATAGCCCACCTGGGCTGCCACCCGGCCATGACCCCCGCGCTCAACTCGTCCCTGCCTGGGAGTGCGGTGCAGAAAAGAGCATCGTCGGTGGATGATGCGGGGGACATGGTGGGAGCAGGCGGCATGGCGGTGTATGCATGGGACAGGTGAGGGGGAGAGGCACGAGGGAGAGGAGAAGGGAAAATGAGTCATGTTTGTTCACCTGGGCTGCCACCCGGCCATCACTCCCGCCCTCAACTCGTCCCTGCCTGGGAGTGCAGTGCAAAAAAGGGCGTCGTCAGTGGATGATGCGGGGGACATGGTGGGAGCAGGCGGCATGGCTGTATATGCATGGGACAGGTGAGGGGAAGAGGAATGAGGGAACAAGGGTCACATTTTTCTCCAAGTTCATCCGTTTTTTTGGGACATTTTAGAATGTGGTTATGCTATGCGCGCTCCTGCCTCTGTCTATTCGCCATGTTTTCCCCAGTCTCTCATAACCGTCCCAAGCGCCCAATCTCTACACTCATGCCATTCCTCACTGCACACACACTGTGCACTGTGCAACCTCGCTTCCCCCGTTTCTTGCATGTTCCTCTCTTAACTGCTCAGCTCTTTACGTTCCCGTTTCGGCATGTTTTTCTGGGTACTTGGTCTCATGGCCTCATGGCTCGGCAGCTGGTACTTGGTCTCATGGCCTCATGGCTCGGCAGCTGGTACTTGGTCTCATGGCCTCATGGCTCGGCAGCTGGTGCTGCCGCTGCCACTCCTCCCCCGCTCGCACCTATCCATACCGCTCCTAACCGCCTCCATTCTGCCCCCATTCCGCCTGCTATTCCCCCCTTCCCCCATGGTCCTTTTCCCCTTTTCCACTCCCCCTTACCCCCTGAGCTCTCTTCCCTGTGACTCTGCAGCTGGTGCTGATGCCCCGTTCCCCTTGCCGTTCCCCCTTCCCCTCCTCTCCTCCCCCTCTGACCTCTCAGCCCTGTGGCTCGGCAGCTGGTGCTCATGCCCCTGCTCCCCCACGTGCACCTGTCCACACCGCCCCCATCCATTCTCTCCCTTCCCCTTTCCCCTCCTCTCCTCCCCCTCTGACCTCTCAGCCCTGTGGCTCGCCAGATGGTGCTGATGCCCCTGCTCCCCCACGCGCACCTGCCCGCACAAACGCACACGGGCACAGACACCAAGAAGGAATCTGAGCAGGGTGAAAGGGAGACAGGGGTTCAGGTGGAATCTCAGGTGGATCCTCAGGTGGATTCAACAGAGCCGGTGGTGGTGGCGGGTGGGGGCGCTGTGAAGGTGCTGCTGTTCGAGCCGCTTGTGGGCCTTGGCACTCCGGTGAGTTGCACCCCTTTGGACCGCATTGTACCCCCAACTCTCACACTTCTTGGAATGTCTTTTATTTTGTGCTTTGCTTTCCAAAGAAGTTTGCACCCCTTTGGACCTCATTTGTGCTTTCCTTACCCGTCAGCCGCTTGCTGTCCTGCCCTCCCTTCTTCCCCTCCCCTTCCTGTTTCTCGCAGAAGTTTCTTGTTTATTTTCAGGACCATTCACATCCTAGTTGTCCTCACCTCTTTCCGTGCTTCCCTTCCCCTTGCACATTTTTCTCTTTCACCTTTTTCTCTTCCTTTCGCTCTTCCTCCTCCTCACAGGAAATCGAATTTCTCAAGCCAGGCGCATTCACACCCGCAGAGCTGGACATCATAGTCAGCACCGTCCAATCAGCAATCGACAGCTCAGCTCCCTTCCAGCCTCAGCAGCAGGCTGGGTCTGGTGGCAGCAGCCGTAGCGGTAGTGGCGTTGGTAGTGGCCATGCCAGCAGGAGTGGCTCACTGTTGCCGTCTCCTGACAGATCTCCTGACAGATCTCCTGACAGATCTACTGACAGGTTCCCTGACAGAAGCACAAGTGGCAAGAGCTTGAGTGGTGGTTACAGCAGCAGGGGTGCCATTGGCAGTGGTGGTAGCAGTGGTACTGGTGGTGGTGGGGGGGAGGGGCACATAGGCATGTCCCAGGCAATTGCTGAGAAGCTTCAGCGGATGGGGGTGATGGTGTATGCTCCTGGGGGAGAGGAGGGAGGGAGTGGGAGGGGAGAAGGGGAGGAGGAGGAGGGGAAGGAGGACGAGGAGGGGAAGGAGAGGGAGCAGGAGGAGGAGGGGAAAGGGGATGAGAGGAGGTGGATGGATTGGGGAAATCTGGTTGGATATGAGGAGCAGAAACGGTAAGAAGCAGTGGATCTTGTTCATGCAGCATGCAACACACGCGCAATGCCTCCCTCCAACTCACACCCCCTCACCTGCCTCTTCCTCCCCCTCTTCTCGCCCTACCAGCGAGATAGAGGAAATGGTGCTGCTCGCTCGACCCCCCCTGAAGTCTATGACAGCATTGCCAGGGCCACGCGCACCCACTTGCACATGTGCTCTCAAAACACGCTCTCTCCTGTTCCCCCCGTGTTTTGAGACGTCTCAAAACACGCTCTCTCCTGTTCCCCCCGTGTTTTGAGACGTCTCAAAACACGCTCTCTCCTGTTCCCCCCGTGTTTTGAGACGTCTCAAAACACGCTCTCTCCTGTTCCCCCCGTGTTTTGAGACGTCTCAAAACACGCTCTCTCCTGTTCCCCCCGTGTTTTGAGACGTCTCAAAACACGCTCTCTCCTGTTCCCCCCGTGTTTTGAGACGTCTCAAAACACGCTCTCTCCTGTTCCCCCCGTGTTTTGAGACGTCTCAAAACACGCTCTCTCCTGTTCCCCCCGTGTTTTGAGACGTCTCAAAACACGCTCTCTCCTGTTCCCCCCGTGTTTTGAGACGTCTCAAAACACGCTCTCTCCTGTTCCCCCCGTGTTTTGAGACGTCTCAAAACACGCTCTCTCCTGTTCCCCCCGTGTTTTGAGACGTCTCAAAACACGCTCTCTCCTGTTCCCCCCGTGTTTTGAGACGTCTCAAAACACGCTCTCTCCTGTTCCCCCCGTGTTTTGAGACGTCTCAAAACACGCTCTCTCCTGTTCCCCCCGTGTTTTGAGACGTCTCAAAACACGCTCTCTCCTGTTCCCCCCGTGTTTTGAGACGTCTCAAAACACGCTCTCTCCTGTTCCCCCCGTGTTTTGAGACGTCTCAAAACACGCTCTCTCCTGTTCCCCCCGTGTTTTGAGACGTCTCAAAACACGCTCTCTCCTGTTCCCCCCGCTCCCCCTGCTTCCCCCGTTCACCCCACTCCCCCTTCCCCCCACCAGCGAGATAGAGGACACGGTGCTTTTGGCCCTGCTTCGCCCTGACGTCTATGACAGCATTGCCAGAGCTACGCGCACCCACTTCGAGTCCAACCGCCCACGTGCCGTGCTCTTTGACGGGCCACCAGGTGAGGGGCTTTGGAGTCACTCAGGGCCACCAGGTGAGGGGCTTTGGAGTCACTCAGGGCCACCAGGTGAGGGGCTGAAGCTTTGGAGTAAATGAGCCTCTGAGTGACTTTAAGGTGCCTGTTATGCTAGTGTGTGCCTTGTGACGCCACACACCACCAGAGCCACGTGCACCCACTGTGAGTCCAACCGCCGCGAGCCGTGCTCTTTGACGGGCCGCCTGGTGTGGGTTTGATGTGGAGGATGTGAAATAGGTTCGAAGCTGCGGGAAATAGGGCCTTTCAGTTTGAGCGCCCTGTACCTTGGTGATCAACAGCAGTCCTCTTAGATAAGAGTTGTGGGCTCCAAGGCTTTTACGGCTTCAGTACATTTTTTTTGCTCTCCTCAACCCTCCTCTCCTCTCACAGAATTTCCTCACTCTCTTCTTACTAACCGTTCCTCGCACCCTTCACCCCTACCAGGCAATGGGAAGACGTCATGTGCATGAGCCATGGCCAAATGTTGTGACCCTTGAGTCGAATCAAAGGCCATAGTTCCTTGTTCCATCCGTTCCTCTCACCCCTCACCCCATATCAGGCACTGGGAAGACGTCATGTGCAAGAGCCATGGCGAAACGTGCGGTGAGTGCCATGCCATGCCATGCCTCTCCTCGACATGCCGTGCCATGCCTTTCCTTGCCATGGCTTGCCGTGCTTTGCCTTGCCTGGGAGGAAGACGTCATGTGCGAGAGGCATGGCCAACCGAGCGGTGAGTGCCATGCCATCTGCCATTCCATCTGCCATGCCATCTGACATTCCGTCTGCCATGCCATCTGACATTCCGTCTGCCATTCCATCTGCCATTCCATCTGCCATGCCATCTGACATTCCGTCTGCCATTCCATCTGCCATTCCATCTGCCATTCCATCTGCTGTGCTATGCTGTGCCACACCATGCCCTGCCCGGCCCTGGTGTACGTGCCACTAGAATCTAGCATCCTAGTACTCTGGGGAGAGCGAGCACCAGCTGTAGTCCTTGTGAGCAAGCACCGGCTGTCATATCGTTCTCTCCACCACCCCACCCTCATCAGAGCGTGCTCCTGGTGTACGTGCCTCTCGAGTCTGTAGCATCTAAATACTATGGGGAGAGTGAGTGAGCGCAAGGGGGCAGCCCCATCTAGCGCTCATAACCTTTCCCCAACCCAACCCCCTTCCCCCCATCAGAGCGTGCCGCTGGTGTACGTGCCTCTCGAGTCTGTAGCATCCAAGTACTATGGGGAGAGTGAGCGCCAGCTGTCAACCGTGTTTGCGCTGGCCAATCAGCTGCACCCAGGTGGCGCCATTGTGTTCCTCGATGAGGTGGGTGAGTTGGGATGTTGAGTGGGGGAAGGGGAGAAGAGGAGAGAAAAGATGGCTGATAAGAAAGGTTGGCTAATCATATCACTCGATGAAGGAGAGGGGGCAGCAGAGGAGGAGGAGGAGGAAGGGGAGGTGAAGGAAGGAGAAATTGCAGGCAAGCGCAAGGAGAAATTTAGTGTAACACGGAGCGCAACACTTGCACGAACGGCCCGGGTTACACTCAATTGGATCGTTGTCCCTGGTAGCATCCTCAACCAAACCTCGACTCTATCACATTACATGACTTCATCACTTGATCATGCACGTGGCAGGTGGATGCACTGGCAACAGCGAGGGACAGCGACATGCATGAAGCGACGCGGCGAGTCCTCTCAGTGCTGCTCAGAGAGGTGTGCTTCTTGGGGCGACTCAAGTCACATATGTGGTTTTCCACGAGTGATCTCAAATCTTTCGCATGGTATTTAAAGCAGGGGTACACATTCAAGTGTATTGGAGGAAAGTTTTCTTTGCATTCGAGAAGTTGCTTTACTGCGCTCTATTAGCTTCTCTCCTTGAAGCCACTGATTGTACCGTAATCACCCCCTCCAGCTGTATTTCAAAGTTACCGGTAGAAGCAACAAAATGAAGTGTCACTAGGTTTCTTCTAACTTTCCTGTACATCTCCTGGCGCTTTTCCTTTGCGTGTGTCTGCTTACAACGTTTGTTTTGTTTTGCCTTCTTGTCTTGCACACCTGCCTGGCCTTTCCCCTTCCCTCCCGTGTCTCCTTCCCATTTCTTTCTCAGATTGCAGAACGGGTGGGAAAGCGAAAGACAGGTGCGCAATAGGCACAGACGGTGGTGTGTATGTGAAAACCTCACCGGTCAGCCGGTCAATTGCTTTGCTGACGTCATGAAGCTTATCCAAGACGTGGGCCGGCAAACTGGGAGATATGTATCCTGCCAGCCCACGTCTTGGATAAGCTTCATGACGTCAGCAAAGCATTTGACCGGCTGATTGGTGAGGTTTTTCATATACACACCACCGTCGGTGGCCTCTTGCGCACCTGCCTTTCCCTCTCCCTCCCGTTCTACACTGAGGAATACATGGGTGGGAGACACGGGAGAAAAAGGGGAAAAGTTGCAGCAACATGACCTCTTTGTTCTACTAATGAAGATGGTCTTGTCTCTCACCTGCTACACACCCCTTGCGCCATTCCCCATGCTGCGTGCAGATGGATGGGTTTGAGCGGGATCGGGGCATTTGGTGATACCCTTTTTGACTGGACCCCCTTCACACTGCCTGCCTACCAACCTTGCCTTGCCCCCCCACCGTCTCCCTTGCTGAGTGCAGATGGATGGGTTTGAGCGGGATCGGGGCATTGTGGTCATTGCCGCGACTAACAGAAAGGAAGACCTCGACCCAGCTCTCATCAGGTGAGCTCACATCAGGTGAGTTCTCGTCAGGTGAGCTCTCATCAGGTGATTCTTTTCGCATTGCATGCATGGAATGAGACGATTCTTGAGCGCCTCAAGCGTGGTCATAGCTGCAACTAACAGAAAGGAGGACCTCAACCCGGCTCTCATCAGGTGAGCTCACATCAGGTGAGTTCTCATCAGGTGAGCTCTCATCAGGTGATTCTTTTCGCATTGCATGCATGGAATGAGACGATTCTTGAGCGCCTCAAGCGTGGTCATAGCTGCAACTAACAGAAAGGAGGACCTCAACCCGGCCCTCATCAGGTGAGCCTTTTCACATTGCATGACTTCTTAGGCGACTCGAAAGTCATCTCATTACCCACACTTGTTTTAGGCCCCTCAAGTGTGGTCATTGCTGCAACAAACAGAAAGGGGGACCTCAATCCGGCTCTTATCAGGTGACAAATATTGCATTATTACCTCCCTTATGCCTCCCTTATGCCCCACCCATGCCCCAACCATATTGTCCAGTCGTTTTGATGCGGCAATCACATTCTCCCTTCCAGACGCACACACGCGAGCGCTGATCATCGCTCAATACGCGCGCCACCTCACAGCAGAGGATAGAGAAATTCTTGCACAGGCATGCGACAAGTGAGTGCACTGATTCTCTTATCTCTGCACTGCACCCACGCGCACACCCGAGCACTGATCATCGCTCAATACGCATGCCACCTCACTCCGGAGGATAGAGAAACCCTTGCCCGGGCATGCGACAAGTGAGTGCACTGATTCTCTTATCTCTGCACCCATGCACACACCCGAGCGCTGATCATTGCTCAATACGCACGCCACCTCACAGCAGAGGATAGAGAAACCCTTGCACGGGCATTCGACAAGTGAGTGCATGAGTTCTTTGTTTCTTTAGGCACTTCCAGAATATCTTTCTAGATGCTCACACCCGCGCGTGGCTCGCGAATCATTACTCAGTATGACCTGCACGAGCAAGCGACAAGTAAGTGTCGGTTTTTTTCTTAGAGACACCTCGCCTCATTGCCTTACACACCCGCCACCTCACAATAGAGGATGGAGAAGTCCTTGCACGGGCACACGACACGTAAATTGTTTGTTTTTTTTAGGCGCCATGATAGTCATTTCAGAGCAGAGGTGAGAGAGATTTTGGCAAACGAGTGAGGCAGTCTGAGTGTTTCCCTACTACCTGTCGGCATTTTGCTGTGTGTTTTGAAGTACCTGCAAGCACAAAAGTGCTGGCGTCTTTGAAGTCATGTGTCGTTGCTGAATGTTGTAAATTCACTTTCATATTTTTCCTCTCTCCCCTCCCTGCTTTCCCTCGCATGCTTGCAGCATGTCTGGGAGAGATATCCGCGATGTTTGTGAGCAAACAGAGCGGCATTGGGCTTCCAAGGTGCGAATGCACTGTACAGTTAATATATTATTTGCCGTTCTTTTTTCTCATGTGTTAGCCGGACCTTTACGCTCACATTCCTCCTTCGAATATACCGCATTCCTCCTTTTGGCATTTGCAGCTGATTAGGAAGAGAAGAGAAGATTCAAATGATCATGCAAGGCTGCCCGATGCATCCATGTATCTGGTCTCTGCTGCCCAAAGACGAAAGTCAATGGTTTGATAGCGACCCAGATGGAAGGGGTAGTGCATGGCTCCTGTTGTTGGCAGGGAGCATCGTCGTAGTTGTAATATTTGCAGGTTATAGAGCACATGGATGATATACGGTATGTTTGTATGGAAGAGCTAATATTCACGCAGGGAAATAAGAGGTGTCATTAGAGGACCAGAACATGTTGAAGTGCTGAACTCCAACAGCATACCAATAGTACAAAAAGGGGGGCTTGAAATATTATACAATAATTCGTCCCATGTCTGGTAATCATACTATGACAATTTAACCTTGTTGACTGTAGCGGAGCTGCGAAGCGAAGCCTGCATTTATGAAGAGTTTCCAATTATCGCTTGCAATTTACAGCTTTTACAGCCCAGTTCGTTGACAAATGGTGATCAGAGAGTGGTGGCGCACCGTGGGCGATTTCTGTCCGCTCAAGCCCTTCACAAAAGGACACACCGATTTCAGTAGGGGATACGCCGTGCTGTCTACAGAATCGCAAGCTGGCTGTAAGATCTGTCTCCAAGCGCCACGGATTGGATGGCTCGCGCTGAAACGTATGGATGGAATCTTGTGGTTGGATGAACCCCTTCTAAACAGATTTTTGGAACGAAACCCCTCGTTTCTGTAAAAACCGCGTTGTGTGCATCCTTCCAGTCGAAGTGGTTACACGTAGTTCCTTCCTAAGAGTGTTAAACAACTGGTGGACCTGGCTGCGAAACACCATGGATTGGGCTGCTTGACTTGGCGTTTTAATAGAGAACTCAACACTCACTCCGCAACAGGATCGTGTTGTCCAAGAACTAGAATTGATTGTGCCGAGTGCGCCCTTCCGGGACAAAGAAAATTTACCCTATTGGCTTGTGGAGTGGTTGGGTTTCTGTTTGACCTTTGGATGTGGGATCTGCTGCACACAGTCGTTCTCGAATCTCGATCTGCATCCACTGTGCACCACAGGTCCATTCCATTCCATTCACGAGAATTTTGTTCGGTGGACTCCGTCACTTACTGGGTGTGGTGTGGTTTGGAGGAGTGGAGGACAGTGTGGGCTGGGTGGGGCGGGTGGGTGGGATGGGCTGCCCTGGCCCATGAGTGAGTGATGAAGACGAATGGGAGGGAGGACCCAGGTGAGGTGGGGTGAGGTGGTGGTGAGGGCTCAGTGGTGTGACTGGTGTGTAGGGAAGGAAGCGGGAGGGGAGAGAGGAGGGGGATGGAGGGAAAAGGGGAGGGCAGACGAGAAACACTGCAGATTGGTGGGAGGCAGACTGCTTGGGGCGAATGACAGGCAAGCAGGGGTGAGGGAGGGACGGAGAGAGATTCCTGCTGGCGCGAACACCGCCGTACTTGACCCACCCATGCCCATCACATCCCTCTCTTTCCCTCACCCCTCCCATTCCACTTCCTCCCCTGCTGTTTCACAGTTCTGCCCAGTTGAGTTGTGTGTACGGTACTGTTTTGACCATTGCTGGTCGTGATTTGCGAATGGTCCTGAGGCTGTGGATTTTTGTAACCTGAAGTCCAGCTCCTTGTTTGCGCTAGCGGTCGTACTTTTCACATAGCTCGAGTGATCGTCGTGTTTGAACTCCTTCCACCCATACCATTCCAAGAGAGAGTGTATCCGCGATATGAGTGCGTGCGAGTCGTCGTCGGAAGCCGGCTTCCCAGGCATGACTCAGGGGATCCCGTCGTATCTAACGGGACACTATCCTTTCGCGAGTGCGTGTTCCTGAATCGGATCCCCAATTATTTTACATGCTATTATTTCATGTGAAGTATGTTGCCTCCGTGACAGCTCGATTTTTCGTTAGCGTCACGTTCTGTGGGACCCGGGCCGCATCACGCGTTATACACCGTGACGCGATCGTATTCTGCTTGCCTCGTACCTGACACGTCTCCTTGATTTCTTTTTTCCTTTCTTCCCAGGCTATGGCGGTCAGGCGTCCTATCACTTCGGCGCGCCGTTTCCCCCCATGTACGGCGCGCCCATGCATATGCAGCTTCCGCCGCACATGAGTGCGCAGGCTTCCGCGCACGCGCACGGAACAGCACACGGAGCGGCGCACGCAGCGGCTCATCCAAGCTACGGCTTCCCCCCTCCGCCGACCGCTCGACATCACCCATCTCGCCATGCCGCCGCAGCAGCAGGCCCGACGAAGAGACTCCGTCGCACCGGTCGATCTGATCGCGACAGCATGGGTCACATCCCCACGCCTTTTTTCAACGACAGTCCGGTAGATGTCGAGATCGACGGTGCTGATGAGCCGAGAGGCGATGACGCAAGGTTAGGCAGCAGCAGCTGTGGCAATCCCGCGTTCGATGAACTTTCCTGGGGGTTCCCTGATCTTGAGTTAAAGCCGAAGCTTGACCCTGCGGCCGTGGCGACTACCGATTTGCGAAATTCTGATGTGCGATCTTTGGAGCCTACAACGATCTCTGGTTACGCGCCGCACGTGACGCACGATGACGTGTACTACTCGGAATACTACCCGCATCCGGCGGAGGAATATCCTCCAATGGCGAACCCGTATCACGCGGCGGCATACTACCAGCCTCATCCATCTCATCACCCTCATCCTCTCTACAGTCACCACCTGTACAAGCAGCGGCACGCGGAAGCTGCAGCGATGGCGAGGCAAGCGCGAGTGGCGGCGACGAGGGAGGCGCTCGCAGGGCGAAACGGTGCGCAATCAATCACAGGGCGAAACGTGAAGGCGCCAGGAGTCGCACACGCGAAGGCGACGGGGAAGAGAAAGGGAGGCGACAGCGTCGCAGAACCGCACACTCTCGGTGGCGGTTTTGAGTTCGACGAGCAGCTCGATTTCGCCGGCGCCGTCGCTGCTAACGAGCCCTGTGCTGTCGTCCCGTCGCGCGCTGATCGTCCCGCTTCTCCCGCTGACCTACTCGTTCCGTCGTCCCCGTCTGTGCCATTTCTACCCGCCGCTTCCGCCGAAACTGCTTCTGCATTTCCAGCTGCCTCGCGCCATCCGTCGCTCTCCCTCGCTGCGGAGCGCGACGGCCCGTGTGGTTTCGGCATTCATCCTCCTCTCCTTAAAGACCGCGACGATGCGACCCCCTCAATTTTATTCCCGCCGCCTGTTCCGCGTATGCCTGTTGCGGTTTCATCCCCCGTCGTGCCTTCCGCCGTGCCTTCCGCCGCTGCGAGTATTCCGCCGACAGTCGATCCGAAGCGAAGAAGGTGCGTGTGTGTGTTTTCTCTAGTCAAATCCGAATATTTTGAAACTTCGGCCAATAGCCTGGTGACCGTTTTGTACCCAAACCGCTTGTCCTATTCTTCCTCTCGCATTCTTAAAACGTAAGAACGTCCTTTTCCTACCTAGTAACGTATTCAGAAACTATCGACTAATTTCTAGGGTTCCCTTGCTGCGTACCTGTGGATATGGTTGGGGATGCGACTGTGCGATGATTTGTCCATCTGATTGCTCTCGTTACAGGTTGCTCCGCAACAGAGTCAGCGCTCAACAAGATAGAGAGAAGAAAAAATACTACATCAATGTAAGCAGTTGCTGACTTTTCAAACCTGCCTTGCATTAGAGAGATGAGTTTGCAACCCTGTTTTTGGTTCTCATTGTTTTTCATACACACCTGGTGCGTGTTGGGTTGGGCTTGACGTTCTAGTCGTGCGTGTCAAGTGGTGTTAGCTAATATTTTCCTACACTCTTTGCGCTCACAGGGGTTGGAAGGGAGAGAGGCAGTACTTGTGGCGGACAATGAGGCGTTGGAGGCTACGATTGCCGCTCTGACAAAGGTGGGCATTTTTATAGTGATGCAAATTGTCAAATGTTGAACATTGATATGATAGGCTGTAGTGAGTTGCACTCTAGGGGGTACAGTTTCTAGGGTTGCTTATTTGTACCCCATTCGTTTCTATTCCAAGCATTCCATTGCTAACCACTCTTGAGATGGTATCAGAGCAACAATAGCCTCCCAAACCCCCTGTGCAGTCTCCACCTGGTCAAAGTGGGCGGCCTCAGTCGGGGGGAGAAGCTCCGACAGAGTGAGAGCGGCGGCTGCGTCACGCGAGAGCCACACGTCCCTGGCCAGGACCCGACGGTCGTAGTCCGCCTGGGCCGTAGGGGTCGGCTCCGGGGCGGTCGGCAGGGCGGCGGGGGACGGGGGGGGCTGTAGGGCACCAGACGCGTGAGCCCACAGAGTGGCGCCGTCCTGCCGCTGGCTGGTGAGGAAGCGCGTGGTCTGGCGCTGCCAGGTGCTAAACTCTATCGGGCGTCCCCCCGCGTCGAAACGGAGGCGACGAGACTCCATGACTGATGCCATGCTAGAGGCGGCTGGAGCTCGGCAGAGGCTGAGCTAAGAACGAGGAGGAAACCTACGGAGCGCCAGGAGGGAGAACGACGGAGTGAGAGGCTGGGAGCACTGAGTGACCTAGGCTAGGCGTGAAACGGAGGATCTCCAGCTACAACGGCTAGGGGCGCGATACTAGCGGCTAAACGGCTCGAACCTAGGCGGGCGGCGAGAGAGAGCGGCTGCCAGCCGCTAGGTGATAGACCAGTGTCAGTAGAGCTGGGGAGTGCCCCGCGCACAAGGCGGTGGCGGGGCTAGGGCGCGTGCCAAGGGTGGGTAGCAGGAAGAGAGGGGCGGGGGGGGGGGGTTTGCGACGGTGGAAATGGGCGGGGAGGGCGGTTTTGACGGTGGGAATGGGCGGGTAGGGCGGTTTTGACGGTGGGAATGGGCGGGAGGGCGGTTTTGACGGTGGGAATGGGCGGGAGGGCGGTTTTGACGGTGGGAATGGGCGGGGAGGGCGGTTTGA